AGGCAAGCAGTTGGGAGCCAGCTATCCTATATTGTGAGAGGAATGTCCCAGATTGGAGAGGATGCAGGCTGGGCTGAGGGACACATACATCACCTCCCTCAGCCCCCCCTCCATCCTGTGCACAAATTTCATGCACAAGGCCTAGTTAATAATATGTAATTATGGAGTAATTAAAGGTCTGGTGCATGGAAATCCATGCAATGGAGGGGGGAATCCTTCAGCCCAGCCTGCCCCCCCCCCCCCCAGTCTGGGAGCCCTTGGGGCAGGAGGTGACCCGGTGATCAGGGGAAGGTGATGCCCCATCATACCTCTGCTGCTGCCATTGCTGGCAATGCAAGCCTCAGCTGGCCCCGGTTACCTGAGCCTCAGGCAGCCCTGGCAGCTGGGGGGTTAAGAGTTGTTTCAGCTGCACCATGCACCCCCTTCCCCTGGTGAGGCTGAAAGGCCTGGGGGACTTCAGCAGGGCTGAGGGGACTGGGTGCCGCTAAGGGCACTGCCATATTTTTTTTCATGGTGAGACAACTTGCATATTCCCTCTTTATTAGATAGGATTTTTAACCCATGAGCATTTAATAGTGTTCCACAGGGGGCTACATGCAGTGATTCTGATAGTGATATTTCACCCTGCAACTGGACACAGTTGCTGAATGTTACAATCTCTCCATGGCACAGGGCAAAAAGAATGGACCTGTGTATGCCTGCCCCTCACTAAGTTAGGGCCAGAAGAAAAAAGAAAATCAATCAACTCATAGTTGTTTGGGAAACAAAGGGTGCATTTGATTCACAGGTAACTGCCACCTGTGAGCTGCCCTAATCATAGGGTTTCATTGGCTTAAGATGTTGGGTGTTCTGGTTATCACAGCAATTTTTAAAGAATTAATTCTTCTTCAGATCTCATTTTGGAAGAATTAGAACTAGCCCTTTCTTAAATGATTTGCCATTTTCTGTAATAGACAAGGCCTTAAAATTCCGTCACAAGTATATATTCTTACAATGATGTATTAAACAAAGACAGGTTTGACAGAGAGATTCATACAATGTACAGTTTAAATGTATCACTTTTACAAAAATAAATTAAATTAAAATGTATAGGATCTAATCCTGGTTTGATTATTCTAAACAAATGGGAAGGCTTTTGGAATAAACACCCTAAGAAATCCAAAGGAAAGCACTTTAGTCTTAGCTCCATGACAGTTTTTCCATCTTTCCCCCCCGAAAGAACTTTTCCAGAGCACAAAATAGATTCATAATTGTTTAATTAGATACATTTTATACATCCTGACATAATGGCTCCCATAGAAATAGACCAGTATTTTGTACACAAACGTTATTTACTATGCCACATTCATCATGGACCACTTGAGCTGAGTGCAAACATGTGTACACCCTCTGGTGTGTGCGGAGCGGTGCTCCCACTGACACTCGTTATCTAGGCTGACAGAGAACAAGATTAGACAAGATGGATAATTAAAACCCACAGGGTAATAACAAAAATGTACATTAGATTATGATGATAAACACTTCTCCAGCCACGGCTGTAACCAGAACCAAGCAAAAGAAGTTTTATCAGTTTCCCCTTTGAACCTGCCCCCCAGTGCTCCGTAGGATGGGATCTGATGAGTGACTGGAAGGCATGGGGTCAGAATAATGAGGAGCAAAGGTTTGGAAAATGACAACTTGGCATCTCTCATATTCAAAAAAATTCCATTTGTTTATCTTACTCTGAAAATACATTTGGTAAGTGTGTGTGTGTGTGTTTTGTCACATATAATTGATATAATTTATTACATATAATTGATATGTAATATGAAAAGGTATCTCATGTGAGTTTTATCTTTGCAATTGCCTGGAAAGTATGGGGTATTTTATTTTATTTTTCATTAAAATTTTTTTTTGGTCAATCCTCACTCGAGGATATTTTTCCATTGACTTTTTAGAGAGAATGGAAAGGAGAGGGAGAGACAGAGAGAACATCGATGCGAGAGACACATCAATGGGGGGATTTTAGAGTAATCATGAGGTATGACTTTAAAAAAACACAATAAAGTAACAGCAAAGTCTGAGGATAAATTGTACCCTGGTGGCAGCACACAGAAGCAGAATAATTGGTGTCTGTCTGGGCTGGTGTGTGCCATCGATCTGTGCAGTCTGGTCACATCACAGGAACATCGTCCCTTCGTCCTGCTTTCCTTAATGAGCAGCTCAGACGGGAAGGAGCTGAGGAATACCTCACAGGGGAGGTACAAAGGCACATTGAGTCCTCCTCTATCCTCTGTGGTTTTAGGGGGAAACAAATAAGAAAAGCACCCTGGAAATAAAAAGTATTATGTAAAATTCTAAAAAGTAAATCAGGTTTTATCAAGAGGGATCTAATATTTGTTCTAACCTTTTGCTGTTTAGTCTCAAAATTTACAGATGAAAATTCTAACTAGAAATAAGTCTCCCAATTCTATAAACTGCTCTGTCAATCAGAAGTAAAAATGAAATGAGGGATAATACCATCACATTCTGAATACTTGAGCGGGAGGCTTATGAAGCCGGTAATATGCGAGTATTACCTCAGCTTTAATGGACCAATTGTATTGGAAGTCTAATCAAGAAGCCTGAGTCTCGAGAGATTCTAAATCTGGGACATTATAAAATGTGATTTTAATGAATTTGCCACTCTTTCTCATTCTCAGCTTAAAATCCTAATCAGAGTTCCAGGTGAGCTCTGACCAACATTCACCTCCTGATTTGTGGCTGGAACTTATTAACCAGTACAGGTCCTCTCTATTAGTTATTCTTTTTCTCAATTACAACCCAAACAGTGTTGCTTCCCTGATGGGTGCTGATCCTCTCCCAGCTGTCTCACTGATGATATATCTACTGGTGACTGATGGATAGAGGACTCAATGTATCTTTATACCTCCCCCTTCTGACTTACCTACTGTAACGCCTCTGCTTTGTAAAATTCCGCCTTATCTTTAGGTGACAGTTTGAGGCTGTTCATGGAAACACTAGTAAGTACAGACCGGAACCACTTCACACGGTACTTAAAGCTTTACCAATTGGGGGACAGCACACTTTTAGGAGGAAGGTATAGAATTCTAATTCTAATAAAAATTATAGGCATGTCTCTCAAGATGCAGATAACAGGGAGTTGAGAAAAGCAATCAATAACAAGGGAAAATCTTTACTACCACCAAGCAAACAACCTATAGATTTAAAATGGGATGCAACGGCATTGAGAAACCGAGGGCGGGGGTTGCTTAAGTGGAACACTTAGATCTGGCAATGGAATTTACTGGAGAATAAAATTTCCTTCTAAAGCGATGCACACTGCACACACGATGCAGGGCCCAGATCAAAGGAGGGATGTTTTAACTCTTGCTCCACATAGTAGAAACTTCAGAGCTCGCCTTATGCTCTCATAAGCAGTTCAGATTTGATATAGGATTAGCTGTTATTAGAAAAACTTTGCTGAGAAATAATAACTAAAATCAACACCTTTTAACAAAATGTAAAACGCCAGTAACCTCATTGCCAGAGCTTAAAATAACACTTAAAACCTCATGGTCAGAATCTAGAATAAAAACCTAACTAGGAATTAACTATATGTCATTTAATAACTAATCTCTAGGGAGATTAAAAAAATACAGTTTTATAGTCACCTACATGCAAAAACTCAGGAATATGGATGCAAGTTTCCTACAAAAGCCTGAGGGAAAGAACCAATCCTGAAGTGTTCAAAACTCATTTCTGTCCCCTCCTTTTCGTTGGAATGTATAAACTCCTTAGCTTAAGTTCCGTATCTCTGCCAACAGCAAGGGAACTGCTTAATATATGGCCATGTACCAGACAGAACCACTTGATGAAAATGGTAAAATATGATTTGCATAGAACTCATTTAGACAATGCAAATAAGCTACTAGCTTCCTTGCTTCTGCTCCCAGTGGGATTCACACTGGTGCCACTGGGCTGGGCATAGGACAGTAATGCATATTATTATTACATTGTGCTTCACTCAAAGACACTTACACTTCTAGTGCCCCTCAGCCCAACCAGAACTGCCATCTGCTTATTGTTATTTCTTTCCAAGGCTTTAACACGGATGCCAAGCGTCCAAATCAAACACAGATATTGCCAGGAACAGGGCATGCCGTGAGGCGAGGTGCGCGAGGGACGGTTCGTTATCTGGACGCGGGACGGGAGCTTGACAAGCGATGTGAACACAGAAACGGACCTGGCACACCGCTTCCTCCTTGCCCTGCAGACACCCTACACAGTCACCGACACATCCAAGTAAAGCACATGTTGTTTCCTTTTTTTCCATCCACTTCAGTGACACTCCTAATTGTCCTGGTCCCAGAAAGCGAATCATGCCATGATTCAAAAGGTCCGCCCTCCATATAAACCTATGAGCACACGTTAAAAAAAAAAAAAAGATTTATTGTACATCTTTGCGTTTTTTTAAGGCATGAACAATGGCGTACAGAGAGGACAGGTTCTGAGAAGCATCACGTCTCCATGGACAAGGCCAGCACGGGCACACCACATCAACGGCACACTCCAGGCTGAGCCCTGGAGCTCCTCTGGGGAGGGAACGGCGCCTCCCGGAAAAAAAGGACCCAACGCGCGGTTTATGTCATGTTGCTTTAAACTCTCCGCATCAGCTATAAGCACCGGTTACAGTGTGTGTTTCTCTATAAACGCGTTAGCCTTTGGATCGTTACATTCTGCTCCTTTAAATCTTCTTCCCGAGGAGGGTGTGGATTTTATTTTTATTTTTTTAATTTTATTATTTTTTAAGGAATATGGTTGCAGCAAAACAGAAAGGATCCAAACGTGGTTAGGGGCCTTGTCTAATGCACTTCAGAAAGTCCGTTAGAAAGATGGAGAGAAAAGCAAATGGCCGGCCCTCCGTCGGCCCAGAGACCACACAGAGCTCTAAGGAAATAGTTGTGCATAGTTAGTAATTCATTCAGAGCGCGATATGTCGGCTAGCTCTACCTTCCCGGTTACCAGAGAACAGGGCTGTCTACTTTGCTAAACCCAGGGTCCTTTCGCAGCTCCCAGTAGGTGTCGTTGGAAACCCAGGCTTCTCTTTGATTGGCATCAATCACTTTCCTGTGAGAACAGAAAAATCAACATTAGACACGAATCACACCAAGGGACCGGATTGTTGGCCCCTGCCCTGCAGATAAAGACGATGAAGCATCCCGTGGTAACCATTCGCAGTTCTTGGTAAGCCAGTTAGAGTCCTATCTGCTTACTGATGACTTGACTATTTTGGACCAGAAATGAATTATTTTAAAAAAAAAAAAATATATTTTATTGGTTTTTTACAGAGAGGAAGGGAGAGAGATAGAGAGCTAGAAACGTCGATGAGAGAGAAACATCGACCAGCTGCCTCCTGCATACCCCCTACTGGGGATGTGCCCGCAACCAATAAACATGCTCTTGACTGGAATCGAACCCGGGACCTTTCAGTCCGCAGAGCGACGCTCTACCGCCGAGCCAAACCGGATTCGGCTATTCTTGTTGTTAAACATTTGAAATGGAGTTGGATAGGGTCCTTGGGATTGGGGCTGAGGGCAGGAAAACAATCCCCTCCAGGCGGAGCTAGAAAGTAAAGTGCCCCAAGCAAAGTGTGTGCAATAGGTAACTAGAGCTTCAGCCTCAGACCCACAAGGTAAGGCTGTGCCTCACTCAGGGGAAGGGAGGAAGGGGGGGTGGGGGGGGGGGAGGAGAGAACCAACCTCAGCAGCTAAGCTCTCTGCAGGGCCTGACCTCTAAGGGCCAGGCTGTATTCCTCCCCAGGGCAGTCAGGAGGCAGCTGCTATCAGGGAGATGAGACTATTCTGAGCTGATCTGTCCTGGCTCCAGAGGGCAGCAGATGGGCCTGGAAACTACAGTTTAATCTGTGATGTAGATAGAGTCCTGCAAATAATCCTGTAATAATCACTCTGGATCATGCCACAGAGGGACCATATCTGAATGGACACAAGCTCCCCGAGTCAGAAATAAAATTAAAGAGGAATGCAGCCAGGATGACCTTGTGGGCAGAGGGGTTCCATCCTGTTTCTGAGTGAAGGAGTGGGAACACATTTCCACTACCTGAAAGGCCTGAGCTGAAGTTCAAAGAACGTTCTGGGCTGGGGGAGACCCTTCCTCCCTCATGAACAAACAGAAAAGAGCTGTGGAGAAAAATTACTTTCGTAGACAGAGATAGAAACATTAATGATGAGAGAATCATTGATTGGCTGCCTCCTACACACACCTCACACTGGGGATCAAACCCACAACCTGGGCATGTGCCCTGACAGGGAATCGAACCGGTGACCTGTTGGTTCCTGGGTCGATGTTCATCGACTGAGCCACACCCCACTGGGCAAAAAAATGACTTTTATGCTTACAAAAGGTTTTCCTAAGTGCACAATCTGGTCCAGAATTTTCACTGCCAAGGCCATTTACTGAAATAGGTTTAATTTTTCTTTTCTTTTTTCCTTTCAAATGATTAAGGTGGTTTAATTTTTCCACCTTTCGGTTCCTTGGACATTAAACTATCCTTCATTGTCTCTGGCTGGAGTTTCACATTGCTTGTGGAAAACATTTGCACCACGTGGACTTGTTAGGCGCATGAACTGACTTACTTAAAAAATTTTGGTACATGTTCAAGGTTGTTTTCTTCCATGTAGCGCCTTCGGGATCTCTGGAGTTCCTCCACCCTCTGCTTCTCGGCTGCTGCAGCTTCTAGGTTTCCTTCTTCCAAAAATCTAAGCAGAGAGCAGTTCATCTTTTAATAGAGCATCCCCTTTCCCGATAAAAAAAAATGATCTCATTTGCATAACATTACATTCTGGTTCCTGGAAACAGTGGCACTGGGATATAACATCCCCTCGCCCTGCTCCAGCCCACACTGCCCAGGCCTGCCACTAGGGAGCACACTTCCTGTGTGTGTGGATGGAATAGCACCTGGCCGCACCCTGGCAGGAGGGAGAGGGGAGCGGCTTGGGCGTGAAGACTTCTCTGTGCTCCGTAGGGTTCTACAGCGTGAGGTCTCCACAAGCGAGAACAGCGTGGAGTCCCAGCGGGTGCGCCTTTCCCATATGAGCAAAAAGCACTTGCGAAAGGCCACAGGATGGCGGGAGGAAACTGGCTGCTCTCCATCGACTTTTAGAACAGATTGAGAAGGAAGGAGTTTCCTCCTGTTTTATGGGAAGAGGGTAAAACTGATGAAAAAAGAAAAGGTAACAGTTGGGGGAGATTACAAAAGGCCACAGAAAGGAAATGCATTGTAAATGAAATTCAGAAAGGAAATACGGAAATAGAATTGAGAAAGAAAAAGCAGACGCGATGGTGATTTGCAAATATTTAAATTCCAAAATGAGAGCAAAGACCAGGGATACAGTATTATGATACACATCATAGAGGATGCTTACATGTGAATGTCAAACAGTGAGACTGCATGCTCTGGATGGGGGAGGGGTAGGAGGGGAGAAGAAGGAATACAAGAGACCTGAGTAGCAGAACATTTCAATCCTGGGAACAATTTGGAGGAAGACAATAAAAACCACAAATACACCGAAAATAGAAAACGATCTTGGATGGAATTTGTATGACGAGGATTTGGAAAAAAGTAAAATTCATTCTGTAAGGATGAGCAACAGGAGTACAGAACTATGTAAAAATAATAAAACATACTCGTATGAATCAGAAGGTATTAAAGGTACTGTATTTTGAGTACATCTCACACCCTGTGAGATCCAAACCATGTTGGGCAAACTCCAGACTTTGATTAAAAGCATTTGTAGGTACCTCTGTAACTTACTATCTCATTCTTCAGTATGAAAGACACCCCATACTTCAGAGCAACAGAAGTAAAAAGGTACAAACCCTGGGTGAGGAGTGATTCTGTATTTAGCGGAGAGAGAGAACATTCATGAATTTGCAGGCTTTTGGTAAATTTGGGGGTTAGAGGGGACACTTTGGTTGAGCTAATCTTCTGACCACCCTATGAAGGCTGCTTTACCCAGGGTGGGAAACACAAACATTTCTGAGTAAATAAGGGAATGAACAGATGATTCAACAAAGAAATAAGTGATGGTGGTGCTAGTAAGTCTCGAGGACACGTGAGGCACCTGCCATGATCTAGTGTCCATTTTTAATGCCACTGCTACGCTCACCTCTGATCTGGCCGGAACCGGGCATCTGTCGGTGGGAGGAGGTCCTTCAGCACAGGGTCTAACTCGTTGAGCTCAATAGCAAACCTGGTGAAGCCGTAGTAGAGCTCATAGTTGGTTGGCAAGGAACCTGGAATATGAGGCCAACGAACCATCGTGAGAGGCAAAGAGGTTTAAGACACTTGATCTTGGTGTTTAATCCCAGACCATTAGTAAATTTGTAGTCATAAACTAGTAGATGATACATTTTTTCAGGTTATATTTTGTCAGATGGGAAACTTTACGTTGATGACCAGAACTGACAGATTCGTATATTTAATAGACTCTAGCCTTTAAAATAAAACTCTGCACATCTATAGTAGTTTTCACTGGCTAAGCTACACCATAATTTCTCTCTCGAATACTCAGTGAGGTAACTAAATGCCAGGATGATTAGCTGTGAACATTGAGATTTCACCAGAAACGCTTTACTTCCTTTTACAAAAGAAAAAGAATGCACATCTAACTAATATTTATTGACTTTTTTTTAAAACCAAAATCAAAGGCAGAATCTTTGTACGTGTTGCTTGTTGAAGGATTCCAAGCGCCCGGAGGAGAGCCTGATGCATCATCAGTACTTAATCAATCACTTCGGAACGAACTGGCCGCTCGCATGCAGGAACGTGACATACACTTGGCAGTCACTTAGGGAACTAACAGCTAACATTAAGGTTAGGGCTGAACTGACAACACTGCGATGGAAATGTTTGTCAGATGGGACTTGTTCCATTTATCCTTGATATTCAATGACATGCTAGTGTATTATCAGAACTTGAGGTATTTTATTACATGTCAGCATACTGCAGCTTTAAAAAAAATATTTTATTGACTTTTTACAGAGAGGAAGGGAGATAGACAGTTCGCAACATCGATGATCAGCTATCTCTTGCACACCCTCCACTAGGGATGTGCCCACGACCAAGGTACATGCCCTGGACCTGAATCGAACCTGGGACCCTTCAGTCCGCAGGCCGACGCTCTATCCACTGAGCCAAACCTTTTTTAGTAACGCATTCTCAAATGTCGGGGCTTATATCATGTACATATTAAATATAAACAAAACTACATTTGCCTTAGCATCTAGGTTTTTAACCTCGTTAATAAAGAAAACATAAGGCGGGCCACAGGGGGCGATCTGACATTCCCTCCTCTGTCCCCTCAGGCGCCTCCTGAGGCAGGTCACCCCTGGGTCTCACCTGGCCTCCAGACGCACTTTGCGGAGGGGGCCACGCCGCAGAAGAGCCCCTCGTGCCATTTCCCGAACAGCCGGTGCACCACCTTCCCCTCCTGATCCAGCACCACCCCCTGGACTTCATTCACGTTGGAATTCCAGTAGTTCACCTGGAGAAAGCAAACCCAGTGAAAACACCGATTTCTCCAACGACACCGATCCCTGTGATTCCCATGTGGAAGATTCTCTTTCTTTCTTTTTTCTTTTTTAATATATTTTATTGATTTTTTTACAAAGAGGAAGGAAGAGGGAGAGAGAGCCAGAAACATACATGAGAGAGAAATGTTGACCAGCTGCCTCCTGCACACCCCCTACGGGGGATGTGCCCGAATCCAAGGTACATGCCCTTGACGGGAATCAAACCTGGGACCTTTCAGTCCGCAGACCGATGCTCTATCCGCTGAGCCAAATCGGTTTCGGCTGGAAGATTTTCTTAACCTTAAAGTGTCTTATTCAAACCATTTCCAGAAGTTATCTATCGCACGGCAGTATGACACAGAGAAAGCTCAGCTTCTCTCTCAACTGAACATTAATTTATAGGTTAGGCATTTCTTCCTCAGTTCCTCCTGTCCCGAATGGGCCTTCTGCTCGTGGATTTGAATGATTTTCAATCGGTAATGCTAGGGAAATAGTTTGCGAAATACTGATCACGTCGCTGTAAATGGCTAAATTTTATCGTGAGGACCCTGCTCTGGCTCTCTCCCAGCCAAGCTCCTCCCCAAAAGGTGTGAAGTCAGTGGAATTTACCGACCACATCCCATGGCCCTCGCTCTGATCAGGCCCCAAGTATGCAGAGCTGTCCACATGGCTCAAAGCCTATCCACAGCTGCACAAGCCTTTGCTTTGGAGTCACCTGCAGAAGGGCAGACCAGTCTACAGTGTGTGAATCTCTAGGTCTGAGGTGGCTGTTTGAGGGGGTGGGGACAGAGCAAGGATGTGGGGCTGGATCACCTATGTGTTTGTGAGGCCCTGCAGTGCAGGACAGAGCTGCCGGGGAGGGGGAGCAGGTGGGGGGAGGAGGGGAGGGGAGAGGAAGCAGGGCCAGGACTGGCTCTCTGTTCCGCTGGAGTTCCGAAGTGTTGGACCTGGCCTGGAAGGCTTTGCTATGAAAGGTATATATTTTTCAGGATTAAAAAAAAAAAAAAATAGATCATGTTTTATTTGACAGGTTGTAGGTTTGATTTACATATTTCAAATATTTACCCATATGGCATAGGGATTTCATTTGGATTCTTGCCCTGAGCTTTGCATACAGCAGGGCAGACCTAGACCAAAGTTTCTCACAGCCTACCAAACTGAATGCATACATTTACTGTCATCACTCATCAGAGCAAATAACAACTCTGGCTCTTCAGTTCTGAGCCACCTAATAAACCTATTTAAAAAAAAGGGAGGGGGGGAAGCAGAAACCGGTTTGGCTCAGCGGTAGAGCGTCCGTCTGCGGACTGAAAGGTCCCGGGTTCGATTCCGGTCAGGGGCATGTACCTTGGTTGCGGGCACATCCCTGGTGGGGGGTGTACAGGAGGCAGCTGGTCGATGTTTCTCTCTCATCGACGTTTCTAGCTCTCTATCTCTCTCCCTTCCTCTCTGTAAAAAATCAATAAAAATATATTTTAAAAAAAAGAGAGGGGGAAAAAAAAAACATGTTAAGCTAAAATGAATATATTCCATTAAAGTGAACACGACCAGAAGAGAAAATTTGAGTATTAAGGCTCCAATTATGTTCCCTGTTTCTAGAATGAGATCGGGACTAGAAGAGAGAAGGGTGGTGGAGTTTCTGGACCCTGATGGAGTCTATAGCACCCCTACACAAGCTCAGTGATGACCCCGTGTTCCACGTCTGAGCAGAGATCAGGAAAATGGTGCTCTGCAGGAACCTCCATCCCAAACATCCTTTTTTGTTTGTTAATCCTCACTTGAGGATATTTTTCTTTAAAAAAATACTTTTATTGGTTTTAGAGAAGAAGGGAGAGGAAGAGAGAGATAGAAACATCAATGATGAGAGAGAGAGAAACATTGATTGGCTGCCTCCTGCACTGAAAATTGAGCCCACAACTTGGGCCTGTGCCCTGACTGGGAATCGAACTGTGATCTCCTGGTTCATAGGTCGATGCTCAACCACTGAGCCACACCGACCAGGCTGGAGAATGTTTTCCCACTGATTTTTAGAGCTAGTGGAAAGGAGGTAGAGAGACAGGGAGAGAGAAACATCAATCTGAGAGAAACATACCAATGTTTCTCTGGTTGATGTTTGTGCACACCCTGAGCAGTGTCTCGGATCAAGCCTGTAACTGAGGTATGTGCCTTTGACCAGGATTGAACCTAGGATCCTTCTGACTATCTACTGAGTCAAATTGGCTAGGGCCCAGACATCCTCTCTTGTAAATAAAGGTAATGTTTTTTCTTGAACTTATCTGTATTATAATAGTGGCAGAGTTGGGCAAGAGTATAATGACTGGAAGCTACCATCTATATGCATTTTCAGAAAAAGACAACTGCAGTATAATTAGGTAGCTAAAATAGATCACTTGAATATGTTGTAATCAAGCAGGAATGAAAATAGGAATGTAAACTAGAGAACTTGTTATAGGCAAAAATAGGAATAGAAATAGAAGCCAGAAGACTTATTATAGGCAAGAAGTGTTTTCTGGAATTTTACTGAATGAACTGCTGATGGGTTGCTAAGAAAGAAATTCTTTAAGAAGAATTTTCCCCCCCCTGTTTTGAGATGGTGCCTTTTTTGGCCTCCACACACTCGGAAGTCTGCCCGCCTTGAGGAAAGCCATCAGTTGGTTTTGGTTCTGCTTTCCTTCCTGAAATGTTCTTAAGTATCAATGATAGAGGACAGACCTTACTTGAGGCTGTTGAATGTAATTGGTTTATTTCCTCCTCAGAGGAAGAATATCATGTTACCTTTTCTTTACTGTGGAAGTCATTATTTACCTTGACAAATGTGAGTTTGCAAATGCAAACACTGCTTTTGGTATTTCTAATGGTTACTTCTCCATAATGCTCTATCCACCTCCGCCCACTGAGAATGTTGTGTATGCACGTGGTGACTTTATTCCACACATAGCAATCTCCATACCTGGCAAAGAATAGAACAATGATCAAAAAACAATGAAATCGCACATATATATTATTATTTTTACTAACGAGAATATCCTTTGGCCAAAGCCTCTCTTTCCCTCGTTTTGTTTTCATTTCTTTGTTGAACTCTTCTATGTGTTCAAGGACATTTGCGACATGATTCGTTCACTTAAGGAACAAGTCAGTACTTTTTATGGGCCAGGTGCTAAACTACGAAGGTGAATAGGGCCATGTTTTTGCTCTCCTGGAGCCAACAGCATGATGGGGTAGATGGATGTGCCAGCAAATATTTGTAACAAGAGATGATGAGGAAGTAACATGAGTGCACAGAAGCGGGAGACAGTAGTCCTTAGATCTGTCTGTAATGTGGGCTGAGTGTCAAGAAAGGCTTGCTAGAGGAGGCTGAGGAAAAGCATCAGAAGTCAAAAGAGCAGGGCACATCTGGGGCCTGGGAGTGGTGTGCTACAGTGAGTATGGGTGGTGGGAGGCTAGGAAGAAAGGTGTTGTGGGCAGAGCATGGAAACCTTCAAGACCCCTCCCATGCAAGCAATGGCCACTGTGGAAGGCTTGTAGGCAACAGAGAAGCAGACAGGGCATGCATTTAAGAAAGATTACTCTGAGGACATTGTTTCCATTTCTAAGTTAACACCAAAGCTGCAAATGGTTCTTTGGGAAAAGACCGATGTGCATAATAACTAAGGCAGCATGAATGTAATGCAAACTCCAGGGAGTAAGGTTACAGATTTTCTGCCAAGGAGCAAGGTGCCATAGCTTCGAGTCACACTTGCATGTTATGTATATTTACAAATAAAGTCATTTCAAAATTTAAAAATGTTTTTAAGTTGCAAATATTGAAAGTTTATTTTGTGGTCCTGGGAATTCCTCTTTCCCCACCTTCCTCCATATCCAATTAACCAGCAAATTCTGTCATTCAAATAGACAAAAACCAAACCAAACCAACCAAATGAAGATGGGAATGAAACTCATCAAGCCTTTGGCTTTAATGAAAACTTCAATTAATTTGAAAATATTTAAAGGTTGGGATTTTACATCGGGAAGCCCACTTGTCAGATGTGCTAAAAAGGCTATATTCTAAAGATTCTATTACTCTTCCTTAATAAAATAACTTCAAAATTAAAAATAGTCCCTGAATATAAGATTAACTCAAAATGAAATTATAAGTTATATAAGAAGAAATGGATCAGAATGAGACTCTCTCATATAAAATGCAAACTAAAATGGTGACGGGGACAGGTAGGTACCTGGTGTTGACTGATGACTGGAGGATATGAAAAGATAAATAGGAAGCTTAGTGCATATGGTAAAGTTCTTGCTTGCTTTTGTGGGAGAACATTCTCAGCATTTCAGTAAAACTAACAGATGCTTTGGCCATACAGGGAAACAGACCCTGGTGCCTTGTAGGGTTCAAACACCCATTTCTGATTTTGAAAAGCCGGTAAGAGACCAAAAGGATGAAGAGAGAAACCTACTTTGGAAGCATGACATTCAGCGTTCCCACAGGCAGGATTTCCATCGACTTCCCCCAGAACTTGTTCTTCCATCTGATATCTAAATGACACAGGCAGAAAACAAGAAATATATGTTCTACAGCTAATGATTTATTCTATGAAAACTAAATTTTGTATTAGACTTAACATTTCACAAAGAGCTTTTGTAATTACAATTGAATATATATATATATGTTTTTATTGATTTTAGAGAGGATGAGAGATGGAGAGAGAGATAGAAAAATCAATGATGAGAGGAAATCATTGATTGGCTGCCTCCTGTGTGCCCCCAACTGGGGATCAAACTTTGACTGGAATTGAACACGGGACCTACAGGTCAACACTCTATCCACTGACCAAACCAGCTAGGGCTGATTCTCTATTGTTGATTTAACATGACAAATGCCCAAAGATGGCCCAAAGTGAAAAAATTAACTGTGAATAAAAAAAAATTCTACTATCTATATTTCTTCATAATACATGTTTCATATTTGTTTTCAACTAACAAAACTGGGGAGAGCCTGGAATAATACATGTGTATATATGTGTACATTCAGATGTGTATGTATACTTTACTATGCCTTATAATCTAGATAAATATTGTTATAAGTTTTAACTATGTAGTGGAAATAGTTTATATAGAGGCAAGTGAGTTTATAGCAAAATTAATGGCAGTATGGATTTACACGCACATTTATAATATTTGAAGAGTTATATGATTTGGGAGACCATTACACAAATAAAAATCTCTAAATACAGATAGAGAAGGTTATGAGAAAGTGAGATTAACTTAATGAATATGTTCCTACACTGGGTGAGATATGACTCCAGGGCCAACACTTCATCTCGCATGACAGCTTTCTGTTTGCCTTATGGAAACTCAGGTTTACCTGTGCATTTATAATAACCACCTGGTCCCATTGTGATGAACTGAGGGAGCTTGGTGCTGCCTCCACCAAATTTCTGACTCTATGTTATGACCAAGAAATGATTTCTTTTCTTATTTTGCAATAAAGTGTAGTTACAGTGCTCTATCATTCTGAATGTTTTGAGGAAGTGTGTATATATGAGAAGCAAATGAAGCATCCTTCCAAACATAAACTATTTTTACTTAATATTATGTATTCTTGCTAAAGGGATTTTGAAACATTTTATTTTAGGCAAGTTGGTGACATTCTGGTTGGACAACAGGCGTTGATCCAATAGATTCCAATCTAAACACCTCAATGACTTAAAGACCAGAAATCAGTGCAATATTTATATACTTAGTAGACTGTCACCACATATGATGTGCCACAGAGCCTTCCTTCAGGACTAAGATGTATTTGTACACCTACAGGAAGCAAGAAAATAGCAGATAAAATCTCCATGCTTAAAATATAGACAATGAGGCACCACGAGGTAAAGGGATAGCCCCGAGCTGGCACAGTCAGCTTGGAGCTCTGCTGTCCCTTAGGGCTTGCTTTCTACACAATCTCATCTCCTAGATAACATAGTTTAATATTTAAAACAGGAAATCTAACTTCTTAAACTGAGCGGTGCATCAATTACGAACATTCTCCAAGTTCCAAAGGTAGCAATGTAAACTGAGGTCCAGTTTTGGAGACTAGAAACTGTCTCATTGGACAATCAGTTCGGTGTTTAAGTTGTAACTGAAAAACAAACCTTGCCAAAACACAAAATTCTTGGATTCACAGTGACAGGCAGAAATGGGTGGATGATGGCTAACCTGGTAATTGAAAACAAAACAGAAAATTTTAACATCAGTGTCCAAATTTCAATAAACAGCAACTTTTTTTTTTTTTTTTTTTTACAATACATATTGGCTTCTGCTAAATAAAAACTACTCAGCTCATCCATCTCTATTAATAATTTTTCCTCAAAATATACAAGTAAATTATTGAACCTTGAACTTTTAAGACTTCATGTTTAAACAGAGAGAACAAATATATTTATAGGGGGCAATTATATAAATAAATTGAGTTGTCCATTAACTAGTATCTTAACCCACCCCAAACAGAGGTTTACAAAATATTTTCATCCTCAAACTGCCCAACTGCCTACACAGAAGCCTCCCTGACGCAGTGGGGCTTACCTGTTCTGAGAAAAAGCGGAATCCCTTGTCCTCTCTAATGCATTCGTAAGTCTCCCCGAGGACAGGGTTGAATGGCTTACTTCCTGCTCTGAAATAGGTAGAGCAATATCCTGAAACTGCAAATGCAGCAATAAGAACCTGTTAAAACATTTAAGAAAGGAAAATAATATAGGAGAGACCACTTCCAGGTCTGTTTGTCCCTTATTCCTCTAGATTTTATATCCTTCACCAATGGGTGCTGACGGCATGGCATCTGCATTTTCCATTATTTGCGCAGACTCATCATATGCTCATGGGGGAAAACGAAGTGAAACGCCTCTCAAGGGGATCAGCAGGCAATAAAGGCCAAGTATTTTTCATTCAACTGTCCTCTCAATTTCCTGAGCATTACAAGTTGAAAGTTTCTGAAACCCAGTTTACAGGGTATGCCGTCTGCACAATCTTAGCACCGTGTGCACAAGGGTTGTGGCGGTTGGTGCTTTTCAGAGGGCAGGTCAAGTGTTGGACAATCATGTGGAACAGAGGCCAGGGCAAAGTACTAACAGGACGTTCCCTTCTCAGACCTAAGTTCCCGAACAAATGGGCTCCCTTGGCATTCAGGGAAAGTTAACAAAGCAAAGCTAGGCGTGCCTTCACCCCATAAGAAGAGTGATTTTTATACCCTAACTTTAGAAACACTCCGGACCAAGCGTAAGTCACAAAGTGTGTATCCTCTAGTGGATTTATGCAAATGGGCCAATTCCTCTCTTACCGATGCAGTGAGAATGTTATGCAGAAACCAACTGTGCCATCACAATGAACTCTGCCTCAGCCCAGGCCCGGGGTTGACAAATGCCCGCAGAGCACTGCTCTGCTATTTGTTACCATGCGCTCATAGGGGTCGTCGGTCTCCGAAGCCTTGTCCAGAAGCTCACTGTACTCCATTTCCTCGCAGAGATGCTGCAGAGTGTTGAGCGGCTCGTTTAGCTCCACAGGCATAGACACTTTAGACAGGTCTTTACCAATGTTGTTCCTCAAGATATTCCACAGGTTAATGTTACTGGTGTCAGGACACGGAGCTGGCAGGCATGTCCGGCGTCCGTTTCGGAAGGCCCCTCCGGTAAGCTCCCCATTCAAGACTGAAATCGGGAGACGAGAATCATGATGACAGGTACTTTGCTTTTCATATAAAACCCGGAGGGAAATAATGCTTTCAAATAATTCTGATTGGGATACATTTCTTAAGCCTTTATTACACTCCCTCAAGAATGAATGGAATTATTCCAATACAAGGTTGCTAATAAATGCACAAAATATTAGTGTACAGTTTTTCAACCAGGGTGTTAACTATATAAAATATTCAAGAAAAAAGAAGTCAAATTTTTAAAAGTTAAATATATTTAATAAGAAGGATTCCAATGTTTGGTTTAAGCAAGAAATAAAACCCCTTCACAATCATTATCTAACAGATTTTAGAACCATTTACCTTAACAGATTATACAACTACAAAATCTATCAAACTATCAACTACAAAAGAACAATTAATTTGGGAGAGAGTGATTGTTCACTGAAACATCAGCCTTGTAATTTAGCATGAAGAGAGAAGAACCTGCAAGCTCAAAGGATGCATACTTTGCCGAGAAATGTTGTCTGCAACACTGGTGTTGTCTTCCGAGATATTATCACTCACATCACTGATGTAAGACTCATCATCTGAAGCCTAGGGAAGGAATAAATATAGAGAGGATCAGGATTCTTGTTCAGTATTGAAAGCTCAGAAAATCAAACCATTAAACACAGATGTTGCTCAAATAAAAAGCAAAGGTCATAGTGGGAAATGCATTAGACATATGTGCAGTGAACACTTGAGGGTTTTCCATGAATATAGAATGGCTCAAAATAAGTAGCTCCCTGTCTTAGCAGGGGTGGGAGGCTAGTACATAGCCAAAAATATTTCAGTACAAGCAACAAGGATATACAAAAAAGGAGGCCCTATGACTCCCCCTTGACTCTATGAGCTACTGAATTTTAGAGAGAAAGGATGAGGAAGAGAGAAAAAGAGAAACACTGATGTGAGAAATATCAATTGTTTGTCTCCCATTGACCAGGGAATCGAACCCACAACTTAGGCTTGTGCCCTGACTGGGAATCAAACCCCAATCTTCTGGTTTATGGGACAATGCTCCAACCCACTGAGTAACCAGGCCAAGGCGACACCACCACCTTGGTTGTACTTCTTGTGCAATAACCTGCTTCATTTCCTCTTCATTTCTGCATTGCCAGTGTCTATGCAAGGGGTCATCGGCTTTCCAGGTGAGTATGCCCAGAACTTTGAAATGGAAATAAGGTCTCTTTCTAAGAGATAAACTGTAATCATCAGATGATAGGCAGAGCCCAGATAATGTAGTGTCCAGTTTGACGGTAATTTGATTGAAAAGGATTAAGGACTGGTAAGCAATGGGAGCTCAGAAAAGGAAGAGTCAGAAAAGAAAATGCTGGTAGCATGTCTCCAGAATGGTGGTCCCTGGGGCATAGAGACTGGATCACAGACACAGCCCATCCATGTGGCAGCGTGTCCCTCCTTATTAAGGAGATGGAAGGTTGAAGCTATTATATCCTGGCCTTCGTGGTCTCAAGTTCACTCAACTCACTTCTCCTGCTTCCAGTCTTCCCTTGCTCACCAAACAACCTCCTGACTACAATTAGGCTTCCCATGCAGATATGCATACAGGGAAGGAGACTCTAATCAACAAGCCTGATTATTTTGTCTATCTGATAGCATCAATTATCACTATGAATAATTAAACAAGTACTCCGTTGTAAATGGGAGTCTGTGAATCTGGTAATGCATGACTAGGGACCTGGGAGGCAGGTGCATGGCTTGGTGCACTATCAAATTTAGTGCCTGATAAAAGACTTCTATTTTACCTTTCCTTCATTATAAAAGTGATCTATGTGCTCATTATTTCTTTTTCTTTTCCACTTATTTATGTTTCTAAAATCACTGGTAATTACAAACATCCCAAACCAACTACTACTAACTGTCAGAATGTTTACACATATAAAACCTTATTTGACAAAATTTCAGTAAAAGAGTACATTTCTGCAACCTGACCAAATAAGAGATTCCTTGTTGCCACAACCTTGTCAAGACTCATGGGCATGAAAACAATCCAATAAAGCTTTTATGATAGTCATCGGTAACCTCCCCACATCATAATTACCCAATTAAATATGCTAGACATTATCCGTCTAAGTTCATCCTTCTAAGTTCACATTCATGTCTCCGGTAAAGATATATTTATACATAATATTCTATATAATAAAAGTCTAATATGTTAAGTGTCTGACCATTCATTCAACTGTTTGACCAGTCGCTCTGATGAGCACTGACCACCAGGGGGTGGGGTAGACTGCCAACAGGTAGGTTAGCTTGCTGTTGGGGTCCAGCCAATTGGGACTGGGAGAGATGGGCTGGACATACCCTGGAGCCCTCCTGGGGTCCCTTCCCAGCCTCGATTATGCACCAATGGGATCCCCCAGCCTGGCTTGCACCCTCTCACAATCAAGGACCCCTAGGGGGATGTCGGAGAGCTGGTTACACAATCCCGCAGGCCAAGCTGAGGAACCCCACTGGTGCACAAATCCGTGCACTGGGCCTCTAGTATTATATAATATGTGTGTAAGCATGAATGATGACTCAAATTCTTTCATTCTTTCTACATTGATTAGCTAGTCTCCTTCTATATAATACTCTATATAATCAACTATTTGGTTACCCTAAATTATGAATCATGCAAGAAAATTAGAAAAAGTGCTTAATTCTTTCCTTTTATGTATCAAATTTAAGAGTCATACATTGATGTTCAGAAGTGTTAAGTTTTGTTTTTTTTTAAATATATTTTATTGATTTTGTACAGAGAGGAAGGGAGAGAGATAGAAAGCTAGAAACATTGATGAGAGAGAGTCACCGATCAGCTGCCTCTTGCACACCCCCTACTGGGGATATGCCCGCAACCAAGGTACATGCCCTTGACCGGAATCGAACCCAGGACCCTTCAGTCCCCAAGCCGACGCTCTATCCATTGAGCCAAACCGGTCTTGGCCAGAAGCATTAAGTTTTCAGTAAATGGGAACTAAGAGTTTTCATGCTTTTGCCTTTGTTACAACTTGGATATCTTACAAAGATGTTTAAAAAAGTCCTAAAGTCTCACTTTCTTCAACACAAACTCACAGTTGGGGCTGGCACACCAAGGAACCTTACCTCATTCTCTGAGGAGCTTGCAGAAAGGAGCACCTCTTGGGCATCAAAGAACTCAGAGACAGATTCTGACATGGAGAGGCGGCTCTCATTTGCTACTTGCTGTGACAGAGGGAGACTGACATGGATTTGCTCACCAGCCTACGGAAGAGAGAAGCATATGGTGCAATCATTATTGGTAAAAGAATAGCTATTTGTTCAAATTAGACCATGATGTGCTACTCAGATTTCTAGAGAATGTCACACCATATGTTAAAAGTGTGGTGACCACAAGTAATTTTCACTTGCAACTCAGAAATGACTGCATAAATGGCCTTCCAATATGTCTAAAGAACATGAAAGGCATAGTTAAAAGGTACCATGACTTGATTTCAAATTTATGCTTAATTGATATTAAGTGGAATTTAACAAATTGGGTCCCTATCAATACCTCAAACTGATTATAGTAATGAGTTCATATACTTACGCCTGTCATCGCTAGCTATATTCCAATTAGTATACTAAACCTCAAAACGTATTTGAAGAAACTACTATAAATAGTCTAAGAAAACAATCTACAAATTATTAAAACAGAATATATAAAAGTCATTTTGCAAGGAAACATAACTAGAGTATTAAAACTTATTTCAAACTGTATTTTTCATTCAGTAAGTGATAAATATAATTCTCAAGGAAGATATTTAAGATTCCATTAAAATATGTGTAAGAGAACGATATATATATATATATATATATTATATATATTATATATATATATTTTTTTCCATATGTACATTCTAGTAAACATTTCAGGTTTAAAAAAGATTCAAACTGAGACTGTTAACTAATATTTAAATGATAGAGTTTTAGAAATACTTCTAGATCCTGGGCAGCTGAGCAAGCATTAGTGTCATCAGAAATCATGGGTCTCAGGCAAGTGGGCAACTTAAGAGGAACTGCCTTGAGATGATATTTCTCAAGGCGTTAGATGGAAGAACTGTTGCACTTGTAGATTTCTAGTAAAAAATGTTTTTGGTCCAAATCTGACCTTCATATTAGTTAAAACTCTCACCTTGTTGTATATAGGACTGTATCTAAAGGTCTAATATCACTGTTGAAATTATAAAAATTATTGTTTTATCCTGGTGATAAAACAATAATTTCATAAAATGTTAAAAAATAATTACACACGTAAGTTTAGCCCACATATTGAATGTTCAATATGTGGGCTAAACTTACGTGTGTAATTATTTAAGTGTGTAATTATCTTCTTACCATTTCTTCAAAAATTCTTCTGAAAAAAATGGAATAATAGAACCTACCTCAGAAGGTTATTGAAAGTGTCAAATGAGATAACACATGTAAAGGTGTTAGCACAATGCCCAGCACATAATAAGCATTCACTTGACATTAGCTATTAATTATCATAAGCTGCAGCAACAGCAGCACCATTCGTATTATCTTAGAAAGGTCAGATGACTACTTAGATAGGATTTTAAAAATAAACCTCAAGAACATGTTCATTTAGTACTTTCTCAGATAAACATAAAAACAAAACAAAACATTTCATGAGCCATTTCAAATAAAGACTGAGACAGACACAGAAAATTCACCAGTGGGAGTAGACATAAACTATTCAGTGGCATCCGGTGAATGTAGGAATAGATAAAAATAGACCCTGATCACCAAGAATTTCAAGCTCATGTACATCCTTCCCTCCAAAGAATACTGAACTGTTAGCAACACGAATATTTATCCAGGGAATAATATTAATAGTACAAGAACTGTACAAAAATAAACAAAATATGCAGTAGATTGAGATGCTATAAAATAAGTACTCCACATTTATTAACATTGAGCCTTACCTCATCAGGGCTAGGGATAATATTTACACTGACAACCTGATCACAAATAATAGATTCTGAGTGTATTCTGCTCAACCGACTCCTCAGTTCAGCATTCTGGTTGAGTGCCTTAAAACAACAAAAACCGCACATGTAATTTCAAGTTAATAAGCAAGCATATTACAAAACAAGCACATGAGTACATTTCACAGCTAAGAACAAAGACTATGATGTTCTTAGCTGTGACTTTTCGAGTCATCATACGCCTGATCCTACTAGTAAAAGGGAAACAAATGGCTCAGAATTAAGAGATTCATTTTTGTGTGATATAAGACTACTCCTCAGTAGGTTAGAGGGTTGAAAGAGTTCATGGATTTCATAAAAATGATTCATGGAATTTTCTCTCCCTTAGGTCAGACCCATTACACCCAAGCCCATCTACCACCACATATATATTACATTTTAGACCTTGGGATAAAAGCTATTAATTCTTTCAAAAAATTTTTTTTGTTCTAGTCTTTAAAGTTTGAAAGCCAGATTACCTTAAACATTATTTGGAAATGAAATGAACAATGAATTGGCTTTATATTTTAGAGAATTATTTTTCATTTTAGTAAAAGAAAATAGCTGTATTTTCATTTTCTAGGAGCACATAATTAGTACATATGACAATGCAGCAGAACTAACTCAAGTGCAACCAAAAGGTGCCTTCACTGAACAGCAGAGACATGGACAAGTGTAATGAATAACAGAACACAGAAAGGAAACTAACTGCAGGTTATCTGCATCACATTACTTTCAGCACCAGTAAAGCACCACCTGGAGAGCAGCGCTACACAGCACAGCTCCCTACAGGAGCCCGTGGACAAAGGTGCATGCATCAGATGGATGCAGGGGAGCATCCTCCATATACAGAGAGGTGTAGCTAACCGGAGTCACATCGAGTTTCCAGGACAAGGCTCAGTGAAAAGCTGGACAGCTCCTTTCCTTCTCATTAAAATCAGCAATTAGTAGACAAAAGTAAATGTAGATAGTGGAAGAGAAATGTTAGGACTTAATCTGTCCCAGGGAATGGGCATTCTGCTTTTCTCCATATGAGAACATAACTAGAGCCAACAAACACAATAAACCAATATATATATATATATATATATATATATATATATATATATATATATATATATATATAAATGTCATATGATAATTATAAATTGGTGCCTATTAAAACACCGATTTATGTGGTTAATGTCACATGTGCATGATGCAGTGCATAGTCCTTGAGCATGGAGCACAGAATGGTCTCCGTTCTCTCTCTTCAATCCAGCTTCTGTTTATTTAGAAGAAAATTGTTCACTAACAGCTTTTGGCTTTTGTATAAAGTCTTTAGAACTGGTCAGTAAAATATAACACATTTGGTCTGGTGGAGAGTCAAGTATTGATGGGTTAAAGATGGTATGAGGAAATATGTGTCCAGTTTTAGTAAATAAACCACATGCTTTTCAAAGGAAGAATTCTAATGTCTTTTCCTTCTGCAAACGTGCTCAAGATAATTTTTCTTTTTAAAATATTTGTATTAATTTCAGAGAGGAAGGGAGGAGAGAGAGAAATATAAATGATGAGCGAGAATAATTGATTGGCTGTCTCCTGCATGCCCCTAACTGGGGATTGAGCCCACAACCCAGGCATGTGCTCTTGAATGGAATTGAACCTGAGACCTTTCAGTCTGCAGGTCCGCTTTCTATCCACTGAGCCAAACCAGCTAGGGCAGGATCATTTTTCTTGGAATAAAATCTCAAACACTTAGCATTTAAAGAAAAAAACACTGCATTATTCCTATCCATTGCCACTACTACACACATGCTTATTTTTCTTTCATTATTACTCTGTTCAAAGTATATATTAAAAGTTGTCTTAATTACTGAAATAATTGGAACCAGATGTATTTTGCTATTTTGGACATTGAAGGCCTTCGGGTAGGTTGTTGGATGGTTTTATTTACAGAATCACAGTCTTGATTTCAGGGTTTCATACAAACCTCAACTAATAGTTCCTCCAAAGCGACTGCACTCTCTGTGACCACTGGAACAGAGTTCATGAAACAACCCCACAGAAACTCAAGGGCAAGGCTAAGTAATGATTTTTCTTAGGATGGGAGTTTTAAACACAGGACTGCCATGTATAAGGAACATTTTGTAGAACTGTTTGCTCTGGATATTTAAGAAAGTGAAATTCTCATTTCAGCTCTCATCTTGTCCAATATTCATTGAATGTGATTCTGCCTACAAATATGCATGAAGGCACACAATATAACCTCTAGCCATTGAAACCCATAAAGGATGAGCTAACACTTTGAAAGGAATATTTTATTAATCATATATATGCAGTGGTAGAAAAAAGTTTTACACAAAACAAAAATGCATGGAAATAAATATACTGTTCCAACTCTGACAACCCCGAAGGCAGAAAGTGTGAGTATACAACTGAGCATGCATCAGCCCACTTCTGTGCATCTTCTCCGGAAGCTTCTCCTTTTGCCTTGATCATGGGGACTGTTTCTGACGTTTGCTACACCTAATGAGCTTTGTGGTGTAGAGCCGTCAGGCAGTGCGCAGGGCCACATTTATTATTTCCTTCCCTAAAGCTCAACTATTTCCTCTGTAGTTATATCACGGAGGCCTTGGGAACATTGAGGAATATAGGTATTTTCAGTGAAAGGATGCTGTTAGTGATAATTAATATGGAAGATGCCAGTTTATGGCAGAAACAATGTATGGAATGCCCCCAAGGAGCCTGGATGAAGCAAGGAAAAAGGAGGCTGATCCCCAGCCGCTCCCATCAGCCAACGAGCAAGAAAAGCTGTGGGGACTAGTCAGTAATAATACTGGTCTACTAGCGGCATGTAGGACCAGAGGCACAACAAGGAGGCTCAGGAACTCTGCCTAGATTCTTCACAAGGCAGGTCTGTACTTATTCTCATTACTTGCCTTTGTTAATGAACTTGGACTGCACTAAAACTCTCCACATGGTATGTGCATTTCCCCAACACCTCATGTCCCTTGTACACACTCAAGTCTAGTATATCCAAGAAATACACAATTCCTTCTCAAGCTATACAAGAAGTTATCATCCTGAAGATGTGAGCCAGAGTCAACTGCCCCAATCTCCAACTCTCTGGCTATGAACTACCATTCATCCAACCAACCAGGTAATGGGTGAGAATTTGCCATAGACTGGGTGAGACTTTGCCATACATATTCTTTACTGAGTGGAACTGTGGGTTCCGGGCAGGCCTGATGGCTGGAGAAGGATATAAAACAGAGGGCAAGAGGGGATAATCAGAGATATAAACCCTTTGGGGCAAAGCAAAATTGGTTTAAAAAAATGAGAAAATGAGTATAGAAACTGTCTCAGTTAGAGCTACCTAGAATCAAATCCAGGATATCTCTCTAAAATAACCTTTTTTTAATGAAAAAAAAAATAGACTTGGAAAATATAGTATATTTATAGTATAGTTTATACTATACTATATTTTGAAAATGCAAAGTAGCAATATATTTTTAAAAACTCATATCTTACTACTCAGTCAACTGACCATTGATAGCTTGGTATATTTTTTCTATGTATTTTTCCCGTTATATAATGGTGCATACTTCACATGCTATGCATGCCTCTTATTCTTTGCATATAAACATTTATTTTATGTTGCATAATCTTCAAAACATGATTTTAATAGTTGCATAATTAGTGATTATTTCCTATTATTGGCACTTAGGCTGTTACTGAATTTTATTAGAATAAATAAAGCTGTCGTGAATGGTTAAGTGCATAATGATTTTCTGCATTCAGTTTTACCTCCTTAGATAACAGATAGCAGCCATGGACCAAAGGGCCAAAGGACAAAATCTTTTTAAGGTCTTAATAAGCATTACCAACTCATGTTGAAAATTATATCAATTTGAATCTACTGTATAGCAAAACAAAAAAGATTTAAAAGACTCCATGAAGAATATTGTTGAACAGAACAAATTTGACAAGACTCAGGAAACTCTTGAATTCAGAAACAAATATATATGGAACTTTCATCTCAACATTGAATATTTATTTGGGGTATGTGAATGCTATAGATAGGAAGGATGGTAAATTCTATGATAGGGATTTTAATTATGCTACTCAGCACCTTAAGCCACACTTTTGCTTACATTTCCATACACACCACAGTTCATTAATTCTAAGATGCACACCCCCCACATTTAACACCTCTGAAGCACTTTAATTGACAGCAGTTTTTTTTTTCATAGTAATGCACAGAATGAAGGCCCATCTAACAATTGGTGGCATTTTGATTTAATGAAGTAAAGTAATTATAGATGAAATATAAGAATCAAATGCTGATGCTCACATTTGTACAGACACAACACCCACTGGATTTAGCACAAGCTGTGCACAAATTCTGGGCCCATAAATCACATTAATAACAGTCATAAAGTATAATGTATTGAAGACAGACTCCAGTTATGTTGAATCTCTTATTATTATAGTAATCTGGAGTGCTGAGGTTACCTTAGTCTTATTGATATGATTTGAATTTGGTGTCCAGGGTTTTATATTATTTGAAACATGAAACTAAAGCTGTTGTGAAATAGAGTCATTTATAAAGGGATAGATGTCACATACAATGGTCTGCCCTACAGGCTTGAATCCAGCATCTGTACTGCCTCTCGAGGATGAAAGTTATTTTTAAAGTTTCAAGGAAGTAAAACAACAGAATTATGTATGTCTTTGTGTACACACAGATCAGGGGAGAAACAACACTTTAAAAAAGGGATTCACTATACTATTGAGGCAGGTAACAATTTAGGTTGAGTGTGTAGTGAGGAATGCTAATTTTATGTATATTAGCATGGAACCTTGGTATATAAAAGTTTTATTGAAAAATAGCATTTTAATCATAAGACATATATCAAATAGGACTTGTGTCAAATAAAAAATATACTTTAAAAATGTTAGACTAGTTTAAGAAGTTATTTAAACACAGTCTGTCTACTTCCTTCTCTGTGGGGAGATCTGACTTGTTAATGGGTCATAAAATAAATATCTGGGGATTTAATTGATGACATTTAATATGAATCAAAGATGTCTTTAGGCTATCTAAAATCACACTGCAATGTGAAGTTATATTAATATAAAAACATTCCAAACAACTGTCTCAATGTTCTAAAGTGATTTAACATCTGCTCCAATTCTAAGTGCTATATTAAAAGAGGGACAATAAAATTAGAGTTGGCCAACCAATTGATGGCTCTATCAGTTAATTGTTTCCCACCTTCAATGTCTCCTTATTTACTTTCAGTCTATATATTATTTGCTGCTAAATCAGATTCTGCTAACCATTTCCTTATTGACTTTATCAAAACTCTTTAACCTTGATCACAATTGTCATCTCTATCTAGATTCTTCAGCTGCCTCCCTGGGTTTCCATCAAAGGTTCCTCTCCCGTCTCTCCTCCCCCCCTCCCCCCAGCCTGTTCTCTATGTTATCTGAAGTAGTACCATTGAACCTGCTTTATTCTGACTGAAAACACAATTTATCAACATTTATAACTTCAATGACATACTGGAGTATCTACATCTTTCTCTCCATCCCAGACCTCTCCCTGAGCTCCAGATCTATATACCTAATTACCTGTTAGATTTCCCACAGACACATTGATCTCCACAAAAACCACTCATTATTTCCCCTTGCCAAATCAGTTCCTCTTGTAGTCCCTCTCTTGGGAAAATAACTACCATCTATGCAAGAACACAACCTAAAAATTAGTTTTGACTCTGTCTCCTTGTCCCTTTCTAATATTCAGTTGATCTCTGATCCATGCTTCCCTCACAGTGTTTTTGAAACTAATCCCTTCCTTCTACAAACCCTGCCACCTCCCTTGTTCAGGCCTGCACTATCTCAAATATCTTAGAGTCTGCCCAACTAACTTTGCCTTAATTCTATCTATCTTCCACACTGTACCAGTAATCTTTCTAATGTACAAAAACATGTAGCAATATTTCCAATTTCTGAAATTCCAGTCTCACTTATTAATTAAAATTAAGGCCTCCCTGACATTGACAAGATAAATCTCAACTCCTTTGTATGGTCTTTAATGAACTGATCCCTACCTGCTTAACTCCTCCTCCTAGACTAATGCTTCCTATTCACTCCATGATTTTGCCATTCTCCAGATAGTTCTTCAGTGGTCTAACCATGGAGAGTGATTCTTTAAAGACTGAACTGACAGTAAACTTAAATGTCCAAGCTACGGCTATAGTGAATTACAAAAGAAAGACCAGCCTCAGAGGTGATGAGAGTAAGACTGGCTCAATGGGAAGGTATAGACTGACATTAGAGGGTGACCATATCCAAAATGCTCTGATAATACACAATTAGAAGAACTGAATTGTTGCGAATAGGGTATAACTAACCATCTTTGTAGTACCAAATTATTTTTTACATCTTTTGAGGATAAAATTGAGCATTTTGGTTAAAAAAAATATAAGAACAACAAAAATCCATTGAGGCTTTAGGTCTAGATGTAAGTAAATACGTTTTGAGGAGAGAAGGAAATATTTAACCCAAAGGATGCAAAGTTGATATAATTTTGCCGTATTTTACTTCTGACATATTAACATCAGGTCCTTCCCTGTGAGCTTCTGCTGTGTACTCAGGCCTAATTCAAGCCCCAATTCTTCCTGAGCTGTGGCTCCGCTCACAGCTCAGAGCGAGCTCTTCAGTTCCTCTGAATGACCAGGGCCCTGGGAATCTGCACCATCCACGTGCCAATGTGAATGGACTACAGCATGGTCTGTTTAACAGTTTCCTGATACACACTGCTCATCTCATGAGTCAGATCATGAGCTTCCTGGGAACATGGCCAGGGCTACTTCTCTGTTGCCATTCCATACCTTGTATCATATTTCATATATGGTCAGTTGAATGAAATCAATAAAAGAATAAACAAATGAGTAACTATCAAAATTTCTCTTTCTCATCATTTCTAATCTCACTGGATGCCCCAACCCAGATTTCTGTTTGCCATTCTCTGTCGTACCAACAAATAAATAAAAGCAAGCAAGCAAGCAAAAAACAAACACATTTTCTTAAATTACAAGCTTATCTTATATTACTAAGCCTCCACAAACAGATACATTTTAAGGAAACATTGCAGCGTGTAGGGGCAAGAGTGCATTCTACGTTTATAAGATTACATTTCCTTGCTTACTTTACCATAATTTTGATCTCCTGGTTCATGATACTTTCAGAATAATTATTGAGAAGGTCAATGAACATGGACTCATGGCATGTATTTGTAACAAATACATGACATGAGAGTTGTCCAGGAAAAACCATTAATGTGCTTATGAGTAAAACCCTCTGCAGACCGGCACACAGTTGCTCCTTTTAATGCTCATGCTCCCAAGTCCCTTGTTTTGCACTGGAAGCAGGATATGCACCTTAACTGGCAGTGTTTCGCTTTAACTGAACACAGAAAGCATGGTCCAGATGACAGCACTCAATAACATGAAACTTCACATTGAAGATAAACTGACAGTTCAGGTACATAAAACATGGCGAGATGGTTTCAGTCTGATTCCTAGGGACTGAGGGAAAGTGTTCAAGCAGGAGCTGACCCACACGGAAAACCACTTACCCAGGATTTGCTTGCTCCTTCACTCTGATCCAAGGCACCAGGAAGTGAACAATATTTTATATAAACACTGAGTTCTCATGCAAAATCACATAACAGCATTGAATTCTCAAAGAAAATTTTAAAAGTGCATTTATAAACTGAAGAAAATATTTATTTCCGAACAAGTACTCAGGGTGAAAAAAAGGATTTAATCAGAAATTTCAACTTTGAAATACATGGGATTTAATTAATATTCATAAGGTAAATTTAATATATATTGAATATTACATAATGAATATATATTGAGTAATATCCACTAGATAATATATATTGAAACATGAAAGTATAACTTTAGGGAATATAACTTAAATAGGAAGAAAACCCTAGGAATACAAATCAGGAAAAAAGAGAGAGAGATAACAGTAATTAATAATTTTCAACAGATTGAAATGTATTTTAAGTGGAAAAAATATTAAGTATGGAATACCTAGTAGATTTAAATATATATATATATATATATATATATATATATATATTGATTTCAAAAAGGGGAAGGGAGAGAAAAACAGAAACATCAATGATGAGAGAATCATTGATCAGCTGTCTCCGGCACGCCCCCTACTGGGGATCAAGTCTGAAACCCAGGTATGTGAATCAAACCTAGGACGGTTCAGTCCCCAGGCCAACACTCTATACACTGAGCCAAACAGGCTAGGGCCCTAGTAGATTTTGTTCTAACATTGGATTGAATATATTCTTGACCATATTTTAGATGTGTAAACCATGTATAAATGCAGGATTTTTTTTCTTTAAACCAGAGACCGCCTTATACTTGACTATGAAGAGGCATTAAAAGTATTTAATCAGCCAAAATAATTATATATTTGCGAGTAAGTCTGGTTGATTGCATTTTTATCTTGACATTTTATGGAAGAAAAGTAATAACATTTAATACTGACACTCAATGTCTTAGGAGACTTATAATCCCATGACCGACTGCCTCCACCCCTATTTGTGCCATACAGGGATGGGAATGTTAGGAACTTGAAACACACATTCTCATTTACCTGAGACAGTGACTGTCGGAGTCGTGCCATCTGTGTGCTGTGGCCTTTATTGTGATCCTGCTCAGAAACCATCTGCTTAAGCTTCTCCTTCTCTATAGCTATGCTATTAAATGCAGACTTCAAAAGGGAATGAACTGGGTGGGGAGAAAAGTGAAAAACAAAGATCAAATGGCCAGAAAGAATGTCCAAAATTATAAACTTTTTCACATTTTAACTCATGCATAGATGTTTTCTAGAAAGGTTATATTACAGCCTACTAATTAAAAGTCATTTTTAAAATTGAATCTATCATAATACTTATACAAAAAACAAATATGGTAATGGTAATTAGTCAGGGTGAATAGCATTTCATACCAGATATGCCAACAAAAATTTGGGAGCAGCATACCAATTCTAATATCAATATTTATACATTAACTCACAATTCCTAGAAGGAAAGGGAACAAGTTTTACTGTGCCATAATTGATGAGAGCATCTGAGCAGTTCTGCGTACCATGAAGACACACACACATTATTTAAAAGTATCTAAAAATTATTTCCCAAAAGTGTGCACCCCAAAGAGAGCATTTTATAAGTCCTGCCTGTAAGGACAGAAAAAAGGCTTTCTTTTTCTTTGCACAATTTATGAGAAGCACCTGGCAATTAAACCCCAATATTGTTAGCTCCTATGATTCAAACAGACACTCTGTTCAAACTGGGAGACAAGATAAGCTACTCTCAAGGCTACATTCTTGCATACTCCTCCTCCCTGCTGTTTTTACAACTCAGGGATAATTCGCACCATGGGGTCTCTAGTTAGTAAAAAGTTCCCTTCCGCCATCCCCTTCAAACACGCCTCTTTTGAACTTTTAATAACTTTTACTCTAAGCATGTTTTATAGGCTGAGGAAAAATACTGATAAGACACCTCCCTGGACTGTCTCCTGAAAAACAAACCAACTATAATTTTTTTAAGACAACTTCCCTGGTGTCTACTCAACTTCAGCCCAAAATTCCCCTCCCTTCCTTGTTGCTTAGCAACAGCCTCCGCTTAGAAGAGCAGGCTGCCATTTACTTCTTACCCTGTATTGATTAGCAATATGTGGTCCTTTCCCTTCAGGGAACGAAAAATAAACTTCCTCTCTACATCTCTCCTTTTCATTATGAGCTCTTTCACAGCCCACAGCCACAGCCTATCACTGCCAACAAAAAACAGGCAGCTGATCTAGAAGATGCTTACTAGTTCTCTTTGAATTAGGAACTGATGTTGTCTTAAGAACAGTACCTGCAATCCTTTCTTAGCCAGGAATATCTTGAAGTTAGAAGTATTTTGATTTAAAAGTAACAATAAAAACTCTAGTTCCCGTCCCAACTCCTGCATACCTAACAACATACATTGGTATAATCTAAGGCAGTCTTTAATTTTAAATTACAAAAGGTTGAATTTACTACTCTCATTATTACAATAACAGAATTTATATAATATACAAGATCTACTAAAAAAAGGAATTACCTTATTTTAGAAAGGTTATTTTTTTAGAAGTGGAAAATTTTAGCATAAAGACTGGCCCATATTAAAAGAGGAAAAATGGAGGGATAACAAGGGACCCACAACCTATTGATTTATTGTTGCATTCTCTCCATCATCAATTTAAAGGTAATAACTTGATAGCTGGAATACATCAATCCTACTGGCAGCTGTAAAAGCAGACTCTCAGTCATTTCAAAATCCATAATTCTTTCTAAAGGGTTCACTCAACAGTCGTAGAAAAGCCCATTTTCCCCCCTACCACAGTTGAAAAGAAAATACGTTGTTTCAAAAGGCTTTAAAATCCTATTGAAACTTGGATTTCCTGAAAGCCTCAGGATTGCAGCTAAATTCACAAAGCTTTCTTGGGACTACCTTCAAATGTACTCATCTTCCTTTACAGCTGTGCTGTACTTAACTCACACTTGTTTCATTCTACCTGCTCCTACACTCCCTCTCCCAGTATGAGAAAAAGTTACTGGTTCTACTGACTGTAAATCAGTGCTATTTTATAAGCAAAATAATATTACTCTAATCTAGTGACATAATTAGCATACAGCTAAGAAATGTAATAAAGTGTACTAGGAGTAAAAGAGCAGGTGAAAGAGGGTTGGCACTCCAGAGTCTCAACTGAGAAACCTACAGAAAAAAAAGGGGAGGAAGATGATTTAGCTTAGTTGTTTTAGAATTACAGAATTAAAGAAACATCTGATGGTATATCTTTGCTGATGGTTTGAGAATACAAATGTTTGTTGACTTCAACATTCCCAGCCTGGCTGGCCTGGTTCAGTGGTTAAGCACCAACCTATGAACCAGGCAATTCCCGGTCTGGGCACATGCCTGGGCTTCAGGCTCCATCCCCATCGTGGGGCAAGCAGAAAGCAGCCGATCCATGTCTCTCTTTCATCAATGTTTCTATCTCTCCTCTCTCCCTCTCTCTTCCTTTCTAAAATCAATAAAAATATATTAAAAAAAAAAAACATTCCCGGTGGTGCCCACCATGTGCTCCTTTTGGTTTCCTGTGCCACCTGGCTCTTGAGTATTGGCTGAGATGTTCCATTTAACACACATTTTCAAGAATAAATTATAACCTATTACCAGCAGGCCCAGGAGAAATGAATGTGATTAATTTACAGTAAGGCATTAGAAACTGAAAACAACACAAGGTATACTTTCTCTAAGAGATTATGCTTTAAAAAAACAATGTATAGAAGGCACTAACTTAAATCAAAAAAGTGCATTTCCAGCTGAAACCAGTTTGGCTCAGTGGATAGAGCCTCGGCCTGTGGACTGAAAGGTCCCAGGTTTGATTCCGGTTAAGGGCATGTACCTTGGTTGTGGGCACATCCCCAGTAGTGGGTGTGCAAGAGGCAGTTGATCAATGATTCTCTCTCATCGATGTTTCTAACTCTCTATCCCTCCCTCTTCCTCTCTGTAAAAAAATCAATAAAATATATTTTAAAAAAATGTTTTCATTTCCATGGCCGAAAATGTACATATCAGAGCAGTGAAGGACCAGGTTAATTTGTGAACTGAGGCTTTTCTTCGTAAATACATCCTGGACGGCTCAGTCCACCTACACTCCACTATCCTGCATTTTATTTATCTCATCCTACTCCCTGAGGGTGATAACAATTGAACTTATGCAGCGTGACGTGTTGCATTTTAACACTGAAAAGGTGACTCCAAGGCGGGGCCCATTTCCCCTCCTCTCGGATCTGTACTGGTGTGTGAAGCTCCGACCAGTAGAGCAGCTGGCCCTGAACAGGACCTGCAGCTTCCACCCAGCCCACCCCATTCTTTTGGAGCCCTAAGTTGCCCTGAAGAGGGAGTGGGACATAGTTGTGTGCAGCTTTTCGGCTCTCCAACCAACTTGCCAAGCACATGGGTGAAGCCACCTTGGATATTTCAGGCCGAGGAATAGCCCTGAGTGAGCGCAGTCAAAGCCACGTGGCACAGAACTGCTTAGCTGAGCTCTGCCGACTCCTGACCCACAAACTGTGAATGGTGATGGGGAATGTAAACTAGTCACCTAATGAGTTGTTTGATAAAAAAGGAGAAAGATTCAAACAGAATCCATTTCTCTTTTCTCCTTGCTAAGAACAACCCAAAATTATGTATTAAATTATAACTAAAAGACAGTGATAAATGTTGAGTAGTGGTGGCTGCTGGCCTGTCCAGGATAGCTCTTTGTCTTTCTTCCTTCCTCACTACCCCCCCCCCCCCCCCACCAAGGACACTTTGTTTACTCAGTCAGAACAGTAAACCTATGATTTGTGTTGTCCCAAGAAGTAGGCATTGTATCCCACTGCATTCTGTATTTAGAACTCTAACCAGAACATAAACCGTTTCATCTTTCCCCACAACCACCTAGACACGGAGAAAGGAGTAAATGGCAACCTCCTGTTGAAGAAGAGTACTTCTTGAAAGGGCACGTCAGAGTTGGTGTTACCTTTCTGTGCAATTAGGCAGAATTCCTCTTGAAGTTTTGTATAATCTGTTGAACTTTCCAGAGGGTCAGTGAGGTGGCTAGGGGGTGTCTGAAATTCAATGTCTGCACAGAGGTTGGGGTTGGAGGAGTGCAGGCGGACCGGCGACATGGTGGCACTGAAAGGAACCTGAAAGGGGAAGAATCATGAGTGAGCACCAGTGCGCCGTGCATTCTCCCACACAGACAAGATCTCTTCCCGTCTTCCACATAACAGAGCCCTCTCTGGTGACACACAGGGAGCCACTCATGTACTCTGCAGGGGGTGGGGGGTGGAAGGAAGTCTCGTTTCCCATAGTGGATTTAGGACTGCTACGGACTCCCTGGCTTTTCAATGGTACAGGGTGAGGTGGCTCCAGAATGACAGCGAGAAAAGGCACAACAGCAGATAAGTTTCAGCTCTGAACCCACAGCTGTGTCTAAAACATCAATGGCAGAAAACACTAAACTGTGACTTGGCCGTCCTTGTCTTACAAAGTCTAGGTGCCGTGGCCGAGGACTTCTCATGCTCACTGCTTTCTGAGCTCACTCAACAGGTAAAAATTCAAGAGGCGCACACACAGGAAAATTCACTTGTCCCATAGCCATTAGATAAAACACAAATTAAGTTTAGTAGTACATATAATGGCTTAGAGAGACTCACAATTAAGTTTGAAATTGATTTAACAAAATGTTTCTAAATGACATATATATTGCATAATTTACTGTAGATTACCTTTGTTGTATTTAACACAATGCTGTTACTATGTACGAGCATGGCTTATTACCTCACCAATATAGAAAAGCATTAAGTAAAAAAAGTCATATTACTATAGATTTTTCCAAATGGCTAGAGATACTTCCTTGTCCAGGCTGGATCTGGACTGGATTTGTGGTGGGTGAAGGCAAAGCACATTGCCCTCTCCTTCTAGAACATTCTACCTGACTATTACAAATGCTGTCAGCCAAACATTCTTGGAAAACGAGAATACCGATTCCTCTTGTAAATAAAACTAGTAACCTCCCCTAGCTCTTACTGCACAGATGTTCATTCAATTATCTTTAAGAACCAGACTCTTGGACTCCTTTGCAAGCTGATTTTTTTAATAAATGATAGCATTACTCATATCCTCTATCTAATGGAAAATATGCTGTGGGAGGAAGAAACTAATATATTGTCTGGTGTTTATGTATCTCAAAACCTGGTCCTTTTCCTCCATTATTTAATATTTGCTTTAAATTTCCCGACAGAAAAAAAAAAAAAAAGAGAGAATGAACACAACCTAGTGCATGTGCATGGCGGATACAGAGGCCAGACAGAGGAGTTGGAAAGAACCAAAAACTCTGACCAAGCCGTAGTTTGTGGATCTGGGTAAGGGCAGTTGAAAATGGACAGAGGGTCCTCTGGATGTCACTTTTCCTTGGTAGGAAGTTATAAGATACCAAGGCTTCCTGGGGAAGGAAGTGAGCATGAAGCTTTCCCCACTAAATTCTGCTACCCTAACCATGTGAACGTATGTTATCTGAATCATTTGGTATCTGCAGTTATCAAAGTCACAATCTCATCCTCCATGGGGACCTGGGCTGCACTGGGCTGGAGATGTGCACAGCTCCTTCATCTCATCAAGCTCAGTTCCTGACTGGCCACAGCAGAGACGCACACACGGGCATACACACAATGGCAGAGAAGCTATTTGAGAAAATGGAGTCCTTAGGCTTAATACTTTGCTGGAATCCTGTCCAGGTCACTTGTGAGGACAATGACAGAAGTTCTTTGGGGATGCTTATAAAGGAATGGGATTTATAAGGACCAGTATTTAAAGGCAGATAAAGGAAACTTCTGACCTTCATTGGAGTGACCCTAAATCTAGAAAGAGCAGTCAGTCCATAGCCCTCTAGGAAGGACAAAGAAAACCCCTGGGAACATAGTGGAAGTTTAAATTGGCAATTAAATCAGTCAACGTGGGTTTGTATATAACTCCCTGGGAAAGACACCTGGAATGCTGCATTCAAACTGCATTCAGGCCCTTGAGAAATTGAAAACTAATTCTTACATGTTTCCTACTGAAAATGTTTATGTTTGTATCTTCTTTGTTGTTGTTGTTAAAGAAGTATATGGAATGAGCCATCTGATAGAAGAATTCATGAAGGTACTGGCAGGATGGGCTCAAAATGTGTGGGGTAACGTTAATGTTGGGAAGAGGAAGGAGAGCCACTGTAATAAAAGAAATAGGGGTGAGTCACCAGTGTCAGGTCACTGGGTTATGGGTGAGGGGCCAAGGGGGCCTGCTGAGGATCCTGCTAGATGTTGCTACGCTCTGGTGTGCATGAAGTTATACATTTCAGAGGTTTTAGAATAACCACCCCTCAAAAAAACTATTCCTGAATTTATTGCTAAATGGTGCCAGTAACTTTTCTCATTAGATGCATCTTTTCCATTTAAAAAGGAAAAGCCAAACCAACCTCTACATATGGACTAAACATCATCTAACTTTGTGGTTGTTCTGCTTTTATTATCCTTTCTGATTTTACAAACAATTTCCCCTTACTAAATGTAACTCGTGTAGCCATTTGAAGATGACATCAAAATCCACCTTTTCTTACCCTCGAATTTCTTTATTCTCATATCCTGTTCAAACAGTCACATTATTACAAACAAAGCATAATTTATGTCTGTAGTAACATGACTTTTCTGAGAAAAACAGAACCCAGCAAAGGTTCCAATGCCAGTGTGGCAAACAAACAAACAAACAATATTGTTTAAGGAAACCCCACTCCACAGGTTTTGCATCCTTGAATTGAATTTTTCTCTCACACGGACAGCAGAAATAGAGATCCATATTGTGGAATAGTTTACCAACTCACATATCAATGTCATGTCCACTCCTGCCATGCAAAGGCACCCGCAGAGCATGCGAAAGCTATGCCAACACAGGAATGAGCCACAGCTGACGCTGTCACACACAAGTGGCAACGTTAAGACAGGGGAAGTGGCACACGCACACAGTTTCCCAAAGTTATTAAATGTCCACTTGAGATTGAGATCCACTCACTGTTGTAGCCACTGCTGCTGCTAGCCTCTGCCGGCGCCGGGTGGAGCCGAACTGGCTCTTCACAGATGGCCCTTCCTGACAGTGAATGAGAGAAGAAGAGGGAGGAAAAAACATGGGATGAGGCAGAGGGAGGGCAGGGTATGGGAGAGGGCGGATTATAATCAGATACGGGTGAAGGGGAGTTTTTAACTGAAATCGACTTTTCCTGAATCTTAGCGTTAAAAAGAGCTCTACGGGGGCATTCAGGCTGCGAGAAAAGTTCATCCTTCTCATCACAGAATATCCAAACACGTAAGTCTGTTAACTAAGATAGCTCCATGCCCCAAAAAAGAGATGGAAAGGTATGAACCGACAAATGGCTTGTGTTTTCAAGGTAAAAATACATTTGCACCCTGTTATGTTATAGGAAGTCAAAAGGCATTCACTAAATGGAAGCAAAAAAAAAAAGTTCAGGAAAAAGTAATTTAAAAAATAATGTGCAAAAATGAAAATGAACAGGTTCTCATGGAGCTTCTGTCGCCAGGCAGAATGTTTTTGTTTCCAGATGGGAGCAAAAAGTAAGGGGTGGGAATAGCAGAAATCTTCAACTTTTCATTCCCTTCCCATGAAGCTCTCTGAAATTCCACGTTAGGGATGATGTTGAGATTTTTAGGTTGAAGAATTTTCTAATTTGATCCTCATAGCGTAAGAAAAAAAAATCTCAATTTTCTCAGTGTGTGGGGACAGTGCCTACAAAAATCAGCTATGAAAACCTGAAAGCATAGGTTTTATTCTGTGATGTGCACCTGTGCATAAACTGCTGGAAGAATCCCTGAGCTTGCTTTCTTTTATTCTCTGTTTAGGCGGGATTAAGGAAGAGTGACATTTCCTTCTAACCACTCAACTCTGCCTCCGTTGGACAGATCCTGGCTTTGGGGCTGTGAGCAATATTTTTTTTATTAAATTATTATCTGTGTACATATTTTACCATTGCCCCCACCCCCATACATACCCTCCTTTCCCAGAGTTTTGTGTCCATTGGTTGTACTTATATGCATGTATACAAGTCCTTCGGTTGATCTCTTATCTCCCCCAGATCTCCCTCCCCTCCCCACTGTAATTTAACAGTCTGCTTGTTGCTTTATGTCTCTATATCTATCTTTTGGTTCATCAGTTTATAATGTTCTTTATTATCCATAAATGAGTGAGGTCATGTGGTGTTTCTCTTTCATTGACTGGCTTATTTCACTCAACATGATGTCCTCCAATTCCATCCAGGTTACTGCAAAATGATGCCAGTTAACTGAAATGCATTTAAGAGTCACCAATCAGCCCAGACAGAGAAAAACAGCAAGATTGTTTTAGTCGTTAACAATAGAAAAATATCTTAAATCCCTATATCTCCAATTCTCTTTATAGTTGCCAAATTACAATTATATTTCTCTTCTAAGTTCTTAAATCTTCTTTGTACGTATATGATATGTACATATGTCATTTGTTTTCCACCAAATTCTTTTCTGTACAAAAATCCCTGTATGTTTAATGTAGTAAAAAAGAGCTTATTTACAGCCTACAGTATAATCTGAGCATCTGTGAGATCTAAGATGGTTACACATGAACAGCATCCTGTCATTTATCTCCTACTCACAACTCTTATCATTCCTCCTCTCCAACAACTAGGGATCTAGTATGTAATTCATGCTATTAGAACACAGGAAACTGGCAGCTCTCTCTTTTACAGCAACCCTTTCAAAATCATCCTCTTCTTGCAGTTAAAATACAGCCCAATTATTACTGTACAAGAATGATATTGGAATTTTTATTAGAACCAGAAAATTTGAAGTTTGGGAGACAGAAGTCCTTTTTCTAAAAGGTAATCTTCACAGAGCCTTCTAGGACAAATGTTGCCTTCAATGAGTTACACAATGGATCCTGAGACTAGCATCCCAATGGCTTCTCATGGAAATATGGTCATAACCTTCACATCCAAATCAACAGCACAATCTAACAACCTATGTAAGAATAAGCAATTAAACACCCAGTATAATATGTTCATTTTTACTCTCCCGGGCCCATTTTTCAAATGATCTGTTTTATAATTATTTCAAAATGAAAACTGCTACAGAATGCTGAACGCAAATTCAGTGAAAGTACCAATAACGACAACAATAGCAATAATCGCTACCACCAACAATCACAAATGGCTGGTATTCTAAAAGTTACAAACAGGGGAGGGAAAATGAGCCACTCACTGCAAAGCCTCTCATGTTGGCTGCAACAGTGACCATCAGAGTGAGTGGTTCAAGGAGTGAGATGATTATGGGCTCAAACAAGTACGTGGCACCATCAGATGGAATTCCCATGGTCAAGAAACACTTTACACAGGAGGGAAAGCCTGTGTATTATATTAGAGTGGGAGGGGTGGCATTCCAAGACAGTAAAAATAAATGTTATGTCTTTCTAGAGGTGAAATGCTAATGAGTAATGGCATTTATATTGATCACAGTCATTCCTGGTTAATTATATAGTTCCTCAGCCTAAGGGATCCTGGAAGGCCTGTTGGTTTGAGTGAGCAGAAATGGTCCAGAGATGGTACCAAATTCTGCAGCCTTCCCCCTCCGTACCTTCTGTTTTACTGGTCAGTCCGTGTGGAATAGGGTTTCTCTGGGAATGGTTAATAGCTTACTGCTGGCCCCAAGTCTGATTATTTCCAGTTGGAGATGCAATTAAAGCTACTTTTGTAAGTTTAAAGTTTTCTTAAGTGTGGGGATGAGCGGATTCCAACTTCCCTAAAAAATAATTAATCCAGAATCACAAGGGCCATTTTGTAATACTTTTGGCAAAACAAAAGCAAAGCAAAACAGCATAAAAAAACCTTAAAAATAAAAAGCACCCCCCCCCCCCAAAAAAAAATGTTGCAGGGGTATGAATGAAGAATATTTGCCTGCTTTTTTGAATAATTTCTACTAATGACTTTAAAAATTTTTTTATACACTTCCTGCACATTGAAAAGCACAGCCTGTAACTGTAGGTATTCAGAGTTCATCTTCCTTCCTTCAAGAAAACTGAGCAATATGGGGACGATGGTGGCCTCGTGGCCACACAGGGTGGCTAGGGGCACTGCACTCAGACTCACTGAAAACCAATTAAGACAACAGCTGTGAATGGAAATCTGTTCAATGGCAAACCTTATATAAACAAGATTAAAATAATAGCTAATTATAGTCAACAATTTTTATAATGGGTCCTTTACCTGGTTATAATAACCATAGACACCAGGATTTAAAAAGAAACAAAAACAAAACAGTCTTAGCTGGTTTGGATCAGTGGATAGAGCATCAGCCTGGGGACTGAAGAGTCCCAAGTTCGACTCGGGTCAAAGGCACATGTTTGGATTGTGGGCTAGATCCCCAGTAGGAGCATGCAGGAGGCAGCCAATTGATGAGTCCCTCTCATCATTGATGCTTCTATCTCTCTCCCTCTCTCTTTTTCTTTGAAGTAAATAAAAATATTAAAAAAATAAAAATCAGCCACAAAACTAGACAATCATGTGCCCAAAACAAATGAAACTGCCAAAAGCAATTTTAGGTAATTTTCTTGTGAAGTCATTTGGCACATTTGTCTCTACAGTACTAATTTTCCAAAAAGAAGGGAAAACATACTGAACAAAGGAACACATGAAATTGTGTTCAGAGAATGTGGACATTCTAAATAAACCATAAATTTATAATGCTTATGAAAACTTATTGTCAAAAACATCAGATTAGCAAGCAAAGCAACAAAGAGTTTGTTATTTACACATTCAGAATTATGGCACAAAAATGTTATCAATAAAGTCAGAATTAAAGAAGAATTAGTTATTTATTCAGACAAATTCTGCAAAGCAGTTCCCTTTACCTTTGTATTAGAATAAATTGATTTATAGTGCAACAGAAAGCAAAGCAAAGTCATAAGTTGAATTTTGATTGTGCCAAGCAAGAGTCCTTTATAATATACAGCTAGGATCAGAGTATTAGAGATTCTAGTTTATAAATCTAAAAATAGTATGACTTGTGGCATAAGAGGTTTTAGGCATTTACCATATTTGGTATCATTGCAATAAAATAACTAAATAGGATCTTATTTTAAAATTATTCATAATAAGTAAATAACATTGAAAATAAATTTAAAGTAAGTTTATTATGAACAATTAAGACTCCAGTTCAGATTTTAAACATGATTGTTGATGGCCAAATAATATATATTTTTATAGAATTAGTTAGTTACTTTACTTTACCCAGGAACAAACAGAAGCCCAGAAAATTTCAGAGAAATGCATGAAATTATATTGCCAGGAAATTACAATAATCAGGCTAGATCCCAGGTTGATTGATTTCCAATCTATTGCAGTTCACACTCTTTTATTGACAGGTAAAAATTTGGATTTTAAAAGATATATTATATAAAAATGAGTGTACATTACAACTGAATATTCAGTTGAGATTTTTAGATGATCAGAGTACAAAGAATAGATTTTCCTCTATTTCTGGAAAATATAACTTAGTCTGAAAAGCACTGGATTTAAAGCAGTTAAGCTGCTGTAAACCTTTTAATTTCTATGAACTGACACGTAAATACTATAAAGTATGCAAAAATATGAATGGAGGAAAAGTAAAGTCAGTACCTGCAGTTGTATTTTTGTATCTTTGCTGACACTTTTTGTTCTCCATCTTCTTGTGACCCGCTTGTCTTTCTTTGAAATATCTACACAGTTAGCCTACATTACACAAACAGTTAAAAGCAACAAAGTATTGTTAAGGTCATACATATACAAAACAGGCCTAGACAAAGAGAGCAGAGCAAGTTAGTCAAGACTCACTGTTAGACACTTAAAGCAAACAGCCAGGAGAAGGCATTATCTGATGCACAGTGGGTATTCAAAAGCAAAGACGAGAACTTAACATAAAATATATTTTTCTGCTATCCAAAATGAAAGCAGGATTTCATTTCATTTCGGTAGCATTTTTTTCCTACATGAAAAGTTGGTCATAATTCTGAGAGCAGAGCATCTAAGTTTATACCTTCAAAGCTATCATTTTTAATGTAACCCACATATAGAAGAATGATTCAGATTTTTATTTTTTCTAGTTTGTACTGAAATGTAAAACATTTCAAAGTAGACATCTAACCACAATGGCACCAAGATTCCAAAATACTAAGAATGATTCCAGAGTAGAAACTAATCTACATTGTAGTTATTTCCCTTTAATGTTACCTTAAACATTCACAGAACAATCTAGTAAAAATTCCCAGTGACTATCTTAAGATCCTTTTACCAGCAGTGATATATTTACCTGCATGTCAGTAAAGTTGGGTGCTGATTGAGTTCTCTGAAGTATTTCCAAATTTTGCAGGAGTTTGCTAAGTTCCACAAGGTTTGATTGGCAGTGTGCAAGGTCTAACAAAAACCAGAAATAAAAGTATGTTAGCACTGGGCGGGGAGTGGTGGTGGTGGTGGTGGCGGAAATAAATCTATCCAAACAACGGCAAATACGATTAGGCAGAACCGTGTTTATATATAATGGTAATACTGGCAAATGAAAGAGAAAACACACACACACACACACAAAAAAAAAACCCACACAGACCCTCCTCTGGTTCAGAACCATAAAACCACTGATGATTATTAGATGACTTCAAAGTGCACTCCTGCAATTAGCAGCTATTAGAGCAGAGAGCCATTAACATTTCATACAAATGGTGTATGCTCGCTTTCCTGCCCAGGTGGCCCTTGTCACACAAAAACACGCTCAAGGGAACGTCAGCAGTTGTATGGTTTTACTGTGAAGAACCTGTCTACCAAGAGGGTCAATATGGGGAAAAAGAGGGGACATGATGATTCTCTCTCATTAATGTTTCTAATTCTCTATCCCTCTCTCTTCCTCTCTGTGAAAAATCAATAAAATATATTAAAAGAAAAGAAAAGGACCTGTCTACCTGTTCCTAAAATAGTCTACAAGGCGACTACTTGGAATAGGGGTGGGGTCAAAGTCAAGTTCAGAAAAATAAGATGGAATACAGAGTCAGGTGAATGTGTTTATCTTCAATTTAGCTCACAAGGAAGCGGCAATGCATGATTTCTTTAAAATCTATTGGAGATGTTACATCAACAAAACTAAAGATTCTCAAAGTGTGTGGCTGGACCCAGCAGGAGCAGCATCACCTGGGCATGAAACCCGTTCTGTTTGAATTGCATAGGATGAAAAAATAACTTTTAATGCTATTTTTAATTTTTTGATATATTTTTAAAATGGAATGTTTAAAGAGCTGCACATTGAAATATCACACAAAAAAATGACCTTTAGTATGTGAAAGTCAATACAGTCAAGGATATTGAGTTATTAGTATTATTTACTCAATTAGTGATATCAAGAGCATGGCTCCCAGGTATGTGATGTCTTGTGCATGTGTACTATTTATGAAGAGCCATGTGTGTAAATCTGTTAAGTTATAGTGATCGTTCTTAGTTTTGTGGCGGTTGGTGAAAATTTCACTCATATTATCTTTGTTTCTCATTAAATCTCAAAGATCTGAATTGTTACACATGTGGTACAGGCAACAAAATATAACTGTTAAATATGGCTAAAGATTAACTGGGTCAAATAACAAAGGTAGTTGTGTTTGGGAGAGTTTTGACATTTTGGAGGATTTTTTATTTTGTCACTATAAAATAAAATAGAGAGGTAAATACTAAGATTCTTTATAGAGGACTGAGAATCTCCGCACAGTTCATGGAGAGCAATTCATCGGAAGGCCAGGCCACACCTTCGTCCCTCCCTTTAGCAGCATCTGCCTCAGGATGGAGCCCAGGTTGGCTGTTCAAGTGCTGCTACTGTCCCTCCAGGGAATGCTTGGCTATCAATCACCTCAAATTTCCTCAGAGAGGGAAGCACCAATGAAGATGGGAGGACGAGAATAAGGAAAGGCCAGTGCCTTCCAGGGCTCTACCCCTTCCCCCCTTCCAGGGGAGGCAGGACCCTTGTATGCCCATCTCCTTCCCTTTACAGAAGACAAGGGAAAGTGGAGCTGAGAGTAGGAAACAGAAGATAAAAAGGGAAAAACGAGGGAGAAATGCAGTGCAAAGAAGGGGAGGAAAAAAAAATGGCTAAAAGGAACCTACACTTCAACTTGCCTTTAAAAAAAACAAAATTACACCATAAGCAAGGTGCCGGTGATGTGTTACCTAACATTGTCTATCTATGGAGTCTTCTATCCAGTTAATATTATATTTATATTTCTTAATAATTGTGACTACCCTACACAACTAGAGAAGGTTTCTGGAGACAAAGAGGCTCAGAGATGGCAGAGTGAGAGAATCATGTATTAGTTCAGAGTGTTTAATAATGGATCCACAGTAGAACACCACTAACAGGTGACTGTGGATATAAGATACAATATAATTGAGCCATGTACTGCAAGCAAGGCAACGCACAGGTGTGATGGAGCGATGGGGCAGAGAGTCACGGAGTGAAGGGGGAGGGCACTCCTGGAGCAGCACTTCTCCCATGACTACCCCAGGCTTCAGGGACTGGGGAGGCTAAGGAAGGCAAGAGGGAACTGGTGAGGAGATGAGGGGAGAAGCTGAAGAGGGTGGAAGTCAGGGTAAGGATGAAGCCAGGCTCAGTACTTGTGAGTGTGCAGAACTGACAGGTAAGAAGCCCGAGTCATGGGAAGGAGAAGGACCTGGTGTATAAAAAAGAAAAAAAGAAGAAGAAAAAGTCGAGGCATCAGGGAGGTTGAGGAAGTGAAAGGCGCAGCACCCACGATTCACCTCCTTTGTTTCTGCTGCTGGGCTTATGCTGTCAGCCCACACTGGCTAAGAACTAACCTTCGGCACACCTGTCCATTTCTTCCGAGTCTTGTAACCAGGCTGCCACTTTACTCTGGCCGGTGGTGCAGGTGGCAGGGAGGCTGTTGCTGCATGGCAAGGGGGACTGCCATGAACAGCTGTTTGGTTGCACCTAAAACAAACAAACAAACAAACAAACAAAAAGAAGTTAAGCAGAAACAGCACATTTAAGTGAGTTAAAAAAAATACAAGTACTCTCAAAAGACCATTTAAAAAGAAAGGAAGAAAGGGCACAATCAAAATATGGAGAAAGCCTCTTGGTTAAAAATGGTACATGCTCAGGGAAGCCAAAATTCATAAACACTAACAACACTTTCATCAACTGCTATCTCCATTCTACACCGAATGGGACAACACTCAAGTAGGTTATATCTCATACTCTCAGGGACCTGCCAACTCAAATTCCCAATAATGTTAAATTACTCAATCCGTTGTATTTGATACAGTGTCCTCATGATGGCAGGCCTTTCCCTTGCAAAAGCTCTCAGGATGCCCATGATCAGCTCAAGGTCAAGGTAGCCACCTGTGATTCCTAAATACTGTACATTATCCATCAGCAAATGCTTCGAATGCATACTGAAAAGTCTAGTATATAAAAAGGTAGTCTTGCCAAGTTTATTATTAAAGCTGATATACTTTCCATGGAAGGTATTTTATGGGAAATAAAGTTGCATTAACTATGTAGATACTAAACTGAGTCCAGTAAATGTTCAGTGGAAAAAAAAAAATAGAAAGTTATTTTCCCAAAAAGCTGAAACAACTATAAAACTCCACATTTAATTTTCCTTTACTTTAATTTTTTATTACAAATGGCTGTGTCTCTTTTAATTTATTCTGAAGTGAAGGCTGCACATACATAGCCAACACAGACTTATTTGTTACCGACACAGGGCCACAGAGCAATTAGCATGCAGAAGTCTCATGACTTGATACTTAGGATGCAAGCAAAGTGTTAAGAAGCTCTCCTCAGACTTTATTGCACTTTGATAAATGTTCTGGGAATTTTTCACTGCGTTAGATCTAAGAGGATGTCATTCATAACTAGAGCAATAGATCTCCTATGAAAACCGGAGCTAAAGAGCTTTCTTATTCCAAGGCAAACAGTGGGAAGGATTTAGTTTCAGCTCTCTGTTCTTGGATATCACCCAAGTGATTTAATGAATAACAAAGGGGATGAAAATAATGTATCTTTTATCAACACTCTGTGCCAAAGATGCAGGCGGAGGCTGGAGCCATTAAAGGATTAAACATTTATATTTTTATAAATTTATCCAGCTGGGATACATTTCTTGTTTAATTTGGACTAACTCTGGGATTCCTTTTATCCTGTGATGAGAAGGCAGAAGGAAGGCAGGAGGCTCAGAGAAACTTGGGGGTTATCTTGAGCATCTTGTGTTGGATCTTTAGGAAATGCCCAATTTCCTAACCCTCTGATCTCCTGATTCACCCAACATCTCCTTCCTAGGACTGACTAAATAGCCTTGCCATGGCTACAACCAAAAAGGTTTCAGAGCCTATGAAATACTTGAGTAATTTCCATTGAGATAATAAGAATGAACACAGAAGTGTTTTTATTTACTCTGATTTGATTAGTCTTACAGTTACTCCATGATGTTTTTCAATGCTTTGCAAAGAAAACTTAGATATATATGTATTATACACACCCTTATAAAAGAAAATAGAGAAAGGGGAATGTTCACTGAAACATTCTCAAATCCAACTCCTTGCAGTTGCAGCCAGTTCTTCACAGATGTCTCTGTTCTCAATATCAGGTGCCAAGTGGGAAGCTGGAACACCCCTGGGCAGGGCCATGTGGCTCTGGTTCAGAAAACTTAATGATCAAGTCAAAGTCACAAACAGCTGTCTCCCTGCTTGTGGGCTTAACCTTGATTTTTAATAGGCAACACCTCTAGATTTTCAACAACGTAGAAAATGAATTCTTTCTACAGTCTAAAGGAGGACTTCAGTCTTCTGCAATCTGGGACCCAGTATAATGGGAAGGAAACTGATTTTGGAAACAGAGAGATGAGGATTCAGATCCTGGCTCAGCTGTTTAATGGCTATGTAACACCTGGAAGAATTCTGCATGGTCTCTGAGCTTTCGCTATATTAAAGATTAGAGATGAATACATGTCATTTGCCTAACGCTGCCTGACTGAGTGGGCTACTGCTCAGATTCCTGGCACATGCTCTAGCCCATCTGCATTAACCTCAGGGGGAAATTTACTCACCTCCCTGGGTCATGTATGCATTACATCTTAAGGCAAAAAAGCAAGTTTCATTTTCAAAACTGTAGTCTTCCTATTACCACCCAGGAAGACATCAATTTCTAGGTGCTAATTAATCAAATGTTTGCCCTACTTCCAAACAGTCTTAAAAATCTATAGAAAATTAGGTTGTAGACCATTCGTAAAAAGGAAAAGCAACTGTTAATTCTCTGTGATCTATATATCCACCTGATCCATACTTGTCATTAACTTTGATGTCAAATGTCACTATTGTCTTCGGAGAGCTAGTTTACAAAGAAAATCATCTCTTTTAGGTTGGCCAAATGAGACTCCCTTATGTGCCTACATAGCTTTCCAAGCAATTTCTGGGATTTTATATTTCTAAGACATACCTTCCCATCCATGACAGAAGCATTAGCAGCTGGTGAGGATTCAGCTGTGGAGGTTGAAGGAAATATATGAAAACTGGCATCTCTTGGTGACCTCACAATCTCATTCTGCCGGTACAGGCGGTGGTGGCGCAGTTTGGAGACCCATGCATCAAACCAGTCCTGGGATTTCACCTAAAACAATGAACAAGGGAAGGTAATGGTGAAACCAGATTTCTGGTATAGGCAAGTGATTTCCTCGGATAACGGCTGTTGAAAAGCCTATCAGAATGGCTATTATCAACAAATCATCAAACGACAAGTACTGGCGAGGATGCAGAGAAAAAGGAACCTTCTTGCACTACTAGTGGGAATGCAGTCTGGTGCAGCCACTGTGGAGAACAGTATGGAGTTTCCTCAAAAAACCTAAAAATGGGACTGCCATTTGACCCGGTGATCCTACTTCTAGGAATATATCCCAAGAAACTAGAAACACCAATCAGAAAGAATGTATGCACCCCTATATTCAAATTGGCACAATTCACCATAACTAAGATTTGGAAATAGCCTAAGTGCCCATCAGCAAATGAGTGGATTAAAAAACTGTGGCACATCTACACAATGGAATACTACGCTGTGGTAAAAAAGAAGGAATTCTTTCCATTTGCAACAGCATGGACAGAACTGGAGACCATTATGCTAAGTGAAATAAGCCAGGCAGAGAAAGGTAAATATCACGTAATCTCGCTCATTTATGGAATATAAAGGCAACTTTACCTTCAAATGATAGATGTGCTCTTCTGTGTCCAGGTCTATCCTCCGAGCTTTCTTTTTAATAGACATGACTGAGAGTCCGACATCGATGCTTCCATGGACTTTCCCTTTTTGAATCTGGAATATTTAAAACACTAGTAAAGAGACTGGGAGGTTATATGATTAGATGTGCTTCTGTACCGAAGTGAGCTTAATGGCATCTTTACCTGCTCTATGGAAAATACCTCCTTTACAAAGGGAAAAAGGTTCGGGTCTGAGATTAAGGACCTCACTAGTAACCTGAGGACAGTTGAAGTTGCCGTGACTCCACACCGATTTCAGTAAGTAAGGCTATCCATCTCTTATTCCTGTTTCTGGCATAACACATAATGTCCCTTTTTTAAATAATTTTAAATTGTATAACTGATGTCCCAAAAATACATCTTTAATGTTCTTAAAATAACTGTAGTCAGTCTTTGACCTACAGCCCAGAACATCCCCAAGTAATCAGCTAGCAGACAGCTGCTGGGACAGAACTGGACAGCTGGGACCAGCTCTTCCTTCTGGCTGCCCTCGTCTGACCAAGGACACACAGCAATTCCATGGAAGAGATGGAACAACACTGAACTGTTATTTCCCCACACCACAATGACATGGAGGGCACTTTCCAGGTTTGCATGCAAACAACTACTTTCTACAGTAAAGAAAAATAAATTAACATAATTTTAGAAAGTTGGGATTCCCAAGGTAAGAGAATATATGATATGAAATAGAAAGGAAGTTCATAAGACAGGTATTAAAAGGACATCGACAAGAACAAAGGTTGCTTTAAATCTCAAAACAGCACATAAAGCAGAGTTTATTAAGATGCTGAAAAAAAGCCTAATTGGGTTTTCTCTCCAAGACAGAAAAGTTAATATTTATTAGTGTGTTACTTTTAGGGTTAAGCTTGCTTTGGACAACAGTCATCACAATAGTTAAATTAAATCTTCATGCACCGGTTTGAGATTTTATGTTAGCTTGAGCTGACGCATACAACCCACCTTCCATGCAGCATGGAAGTTTGGTAGCTTGTTAAATGTTACAGGCACAAAAATGAACAAAGCTGGTAACTACGGCACAAGGCTGGCACAGCTGTGATGAGTACTCACTTCAAGCAAATTCTACATCAATCTTTGACACATGCCTTGTGTGCTACTTACATCAAGTGGTGCCTTTGAATACTTTAACATTCCATTATCCAGGACAAAAAAGCGCTGCAAGAACCAAACAACCCTCGTTACTGTATTTTAAATTATATAAAACATTCACAGGTGTGGGTTAATGTCGCCCGGCATTTAGTAAACAACGTGTGTGTCATTTTTAATGTATAAGTTGTGCACTGTTAACCTACTTCCATTGCATTGTGGTTTCTTTTACACACAATGCCATGGAGCTGAAATCTTTTCACCATGGTTTTTCTTGGGTGGGGAGCGGGGGAATGGTTACACTGGGTTGAGGGGGAGGTGTGAATCTCAGGATCTGCAGCTAAGACTTTGTGAATGAATCATATTGGGATTTTTTTTTTCTGAAAGTGAGAAATAAGAATAACTTGAGTTAGGTCACAGAGATTTTTGTGAGGAGCTTGGGAATTTCTCAGTCCTGTATTTCCCTGGGTATCATGGGCAATTCCTGAAAATGCTCATATCTGTCACAGAAGCCAGTGCTCTGGGTCTATGATTAATGCAAGTTGCCTTAGCAATATGTTTGCATCTCTACTTCGCAAAATTCCTGCAGTTGTACTATTAGTAAAAGAGATAACAATTATTTCAGAACTACATTAAGGGTTTAAAATATGAGGGGGGTGGGAAAGAGAGAGAGAGAGAGAGAGAGAGAGAGAGAGAGAGAGAGAGAGAGAGAGAGAGAGAGAGAGAGAGAGAGGAGAGAGAGAGAGAGAGAGAGAGGGAGGAAACTTGGGGCAATTTGTGTCACCTTCAAGATACTCCTGATCCAATGCAAATGTATGCAGCCATTTTGCTCCACAAACTCTCAGGAACTCTCTGTTGTTAATTTCCTTTCCAAGGGCAATTGACAAAAGAATAAACAGCTCTCAGGACCCAATCAAACAAGGAGTCCAGTGCCCTCCACCAGTCTCGACAGATGCAGGGAGTCTTTCTGTTGCTGGAAAATTACTCTGCTGGGAAGTTTTAATGTGACTGAGGAACGCTTAGCTGCTGAGGTAGCAGGAAGCCAGGCTGGGACACCCTGCACGGAACTCATAGAAGGCCAGGGGACATCTTTGTTATAGGCTCTGGGGTGGCAACAAGTAAGCACCAGAAGAAAGAATCCCTACAGCTGGAAAACACTTGATTACTCGATTCCATAATTTGGGCAGTCATATGGGCTGATGCTTGAATAAATATCTGATGGCAAGAGAGACCAGAAGAAAAGATTACAGGAGGGAGAACCTCCCACTATTTATGTAACAAAACGTTCAAAGGCATGGTCCAAAAAGAGCTGCGGTTGAACCACAGCCAGTTTTGCTGAATCAGGGACTGAGAGTGCTAAATAAGTTTGCAATTCAAATTGGTATATTTGTCCTCCCCTGCCTCCCCCTGCTATTTTTCCATTTCTATCTATTAAAGAATTTTAACAGGGATAACCTATATGATGGTCACCGGAAAAGAGAGCAGCAGGGCCGATGATTTTAGGAACTATGAAGTGGTAAGGTCAGAACAAAAGGCAAAAAGCTAATCAAAATCCAAGGAAGAACAGGGTGGAGAGAAATCCTGGCTTTGGGAGAATATTAGGGGTCAGGAGAGACTGTCAAGTGAGAAGAAATAGTTGTTGGAACCTCTTTGACCTGTTTTTACTTCACCCTCATAGATAGAGGATTGAGGAACATTCCCATTGTTTAATTTTTTAAGTCTTTCTTTCTTCCTTTCTTTCTTTCTTTCTTTCTTTCTTTCTTTCTTTCTTTCTTTCTTTCTTTCTTTCTTTCTTTCTTTCTTTTTTAATGCTTTTATTGATTTCAGGGAGAGGAGGGAGAGAGAGAGAGAGAGAAACATCAATGATAAGAAAGAATCTTTGATCGGCTGTCTCTGCTGGGGAATGAGCCCACAATCCAGATACGTGGCCTGACTAGGAATTGAACCGAGACCTCCTGGTGATGCTCAACCACTGAGTCACACCAGCCAGGCCAAGTCTTTCTTTTAAAGTGCAAAAAAGTATATTTCTTCAAGGATTTTATAACCCATAACCTCTCTGCTGGGAGATGATGGGCAGCTACCACCAGCCAATAAATCTATCTGCCCTGAGGTGAAATCCATAGGCAGAGATGGCAAGTAGATGAGCCTATTCTTCCAGTGATTCAGAGATGCTGATGGTCTGTCAAAGGGCTGATACTGAAAACGGAGGACAAATTCCTCCTCAGCATCACAAAAGTCTTGCTATTCAGGTCTCTGCAACAATGAAGTACAAAATATTTTCACTGTGATTAAAGCTGGAGGATGGAAAAAGCAGGTGGGGTCGGGAAGAGAAGAATAAACCATATAGTTTAAAGAGTAATAACCAAACTTCCAAGGTCAGTGAATTTCCACCTTTAATTTGCACTGGTAACAATAATTTTAGGAATTTACCCCAATGAAGAAAATAGAAATTCATGTATATGGATGGTCAGCACAGCATCATGACAATAAAAAATTAGACATAAATAGCATACATATCCAGCAAAAGGGAATTGGTTCCATAATCGTGGAAATTTGGTTCAATAAGTTCATCCTGTGGAACACATGCATACATGTTTTAAAACCTCCCATTTAGAAGAATATTTAATAAGAACATATTAATTTAAGTGGAAAAAAAAACAAAACACCCAAACCCGAGTGGATAATAATATGTACAAACTGGATTGACAATATAAAAATAAGTTATTTTAAAAATAATTCTCCCCTGCACACAGTTATTACAGATCTCACCCTCAACAGGCACAACAGGTTGCATGCAGCCCAAATGGTTGAAACAAGCCTCGAGAATTAGATTACACACACAGCCACCCTCTTGGCTCCCCACCTAATAACACCAAATCAGATCCTCTATTTGCAAAGATGAGCCAGAGATGAAAAGGATGAAAATGTTACCTTGTGCCAGCCTTTTAAAGGCCATTTTCTTTTCTTCAGCATAAAGCCTTCATATTTGTCTGGTCTCTGGACATTGGTTTGGCCTATTTTCAACCCTTCTATAATTTCCCAGCTGTCAGCTTCCTGAGAGGAAAAAAAAAAAAAGGCAAATCACATGTTTCTTGGCGCTTGATGACACACTTACAACAGATTCTTAAGTAGAAGAAGGTGCTTTTGAAGCAGCGTCGGACCCACTGGGAGTATGAGCAACATTCTGGAGCAAATTCCGACATCAGATCCAGCTAAGGATTTAAAGGTGAAGTTAAAATGAGCTTCCAGGTAGACTTGGAAGTCTGGATCCATCAGACACAAGATGGAGTTGGAGGTTGGAGTAGCATGAGATTTCAATTGCCTATACTCAGAAGGTTTTTTTGTTTTGTTTTGTTTTGTTTTTGTTAATCTTCACCTGAAGACATTTTCCCATTGATTTTTAAAGAGAGTAGAAAGGAGGGAGGGAGGGAAAGAAGGAGGGAGAGACATAGACACATTGATTGGTTGCCTTTGCACGTGCCCCGACCAGGTCTGAGGATTGAGCCTGCAACCAAGGTAACATGCCCTTGACCAGAATTGAACCCGGGCCAATGCTCTTTCCACTGAACCAAATCGGCGAGGGCATGTATTCAGAAGGTTTAAAATGCATTTTTCCAGACAGTGCATCTGTGGGCGCAGAGGCACTTTAACCTTTTCAAATAAGACTGTTTTGATGGCAAATGTTCAATTAGTGCGTGGATCCAGCTCTTTGTGCAGAAATGGAAAGGCTGCAGGGGTCTAAGTGGTTCATGACCTTAAGCTGAAGAGCAGCGCTATGGGGCCATTCCTCCTCGGGGAAGCCGTGTGCGTTGCAGAGTGCACATAAAGCCTCCTGCTTGCCAAACACATCCAAAGGTCCAGTTACCTTTGGATGTGTTTGGCGTTTCGAAGGCAGCATCCTGAGACACACACCCTTGGCAACACACTGCGAGCCCAGGTATCTGGGATGCTCACGTCCACACAAACGTCTTCTTTCGTAAAAAAAAAGGAACTAAATCACAGTTTCCTCTGCCACAAGACATGTTTTGTTCATCTACAGCTTTTATAATTTTTTTTAATGAATTGTCAACATTTAAAAATCAGAAGATTTCAGATTTAAAACATCCAAATTTCCAGTGTTTTGTGAAAGCCTGTAAGATCTGGCCACAGTGCGCATGGCCTGAGAGAAGGATGCCCATCTTTAGGCTGTTACAGTGCCCCCCATACTCCCCTGGGGACCTGCTTCAGCTGCTGACTGGCCCTTAGCAATATCCTGGGTTTTAAATCTCTGGACCAGGTAATTTCTTTAAAAATAATTTTTTAAAAAAAATTGATTTCAGAGAGGAAGAGAGAGGGAGAGCGATAAACATCAAATCAATATCCAAATCCAAATATGTGTGAATGGGGTGGACTTTTCACAGGAAGTGATGTGTCCAGGACATGTGGCTGAACATTGCTTCATTCTAACATCATGAAGGCCGGGAGACATTCCTGACTTCTGAAAAGCCCTCTAAGCCAGCATCATGCTTCGATCCTTTCCAAGCCCAACCCTAAAACACACGCGTTCCCACAAAGTCCCAGGAAAACTAAACGGAGACCAGTGTCATTTTTTATCTTCTTTGTCACCTGAGAGGTGCTTAGTGAATGAACTACAGACCTTAAAGAAGCGCACCCACCAGTTTTTATTTGGAAACATTAAGAACCTTTTAAAGGATCTGTAAAATTATGCATCACTAAAATGTGTTTGTTTGTTTTTAAGAAAAAAGGACCTGTAAGAAAACCCCAAAAGTGATTTTCTACTTGAAGATAATAATGTCAGAAACGGGGATAGATCTGGTCAAAGGTCTTAATTAGACAAAGGAATTTTAAAAAGGTTGCAAATGAGAATTTCAGGCTGTATACCATGTTTTCTGTACCAGTGAAGGTGGTACTGTCATCCAGAAAACAAAGGGGTGCCTTTGCATCCTCATTTTTTAACAGTGAACTGCAATTCAACAGGAGAATACAGTTTATGAATAATCTATAATAATAAAAGCATAATATACTAATTAAACTGGACGTCTTTTTGGACGACTTTCTGGATGAAGCAGGGGCTGTAAGGGCCGAGCTCTTTGCATAAATTTCATGCATCGGGCCTCTAGTGTTAGAATAACAGAAGAAGAAAGAATGTTCTTATACAAAGTACACTTATACAAAGTATCTTTGGCTTTCTATTCTTACTAAAAAAGTAGGTAAAAATGATGGATTTCTACTGATTTCTTTTTTCAAGTTCGGTATACTCAAGAAACGAATATATCCATTAGCACTCTTTCTGTTCTTAGAGAGGTATCATCTGTGCTTAATGACATTTCTATTTTTGGTAGACCCATCCATGGATAGCATCTCTAAAAGAATAGCATTGCTATTATTGGCTAGATCTTACCTTATTTTAAGGCTAGTGTTCATCTTTGATTTATTCCCTGAGTGTGCGTGGGTGGGTGCGTATGATGAAAACTCTCAATTAACACTCTCAATTACTTGAGAAAATGGAAACATTTAATAAGTACTGATGTTTTTAAATTTTTTTCCTAATGAAACTCAGAATGTAATAACAGCTTGTCCGTAAGGGACTATGGTTATTGATTCTAACACACTCATTTTTTTCTTCTTTGGAAGTTTAACTAAAGAGGAAACAAAACGGGGTAAGAAAGAACAGATGAAAAGTTAAAATGTATTTCTTCATTATAAATGAGGCAGCTCTGAGCAAATAATTCCATTCACTCTGATGCTGAATTACTAAACCCAGCAAAAATATTTGAGAAGAATCCTAGTGGAATTCCTGCAGTTAAATAAACTGTCCATCTGATAAAGCCAGAGCAAACAGCATTCTCCCTATTCAATTATGAACGCTGATGATAATGATATAAACAAGGTGTGAAATAAATGAAACATCTCAGCTCAGTATTTAGCACAACCTATCTCTGCTTAGTAGACTAGGTCGATCTTAAGAAAGCTAAAATTACTCTTCGAAAATTGAAGAAATTTTTTTTTTAAATTTCAGTTGATATTAAAAGTCTTCAATTTTCATTGGTTTACTTATAATAGGAACAGAGCCAAAAGCCCTAATGTGATCATGTCAGTACTTGACTCTAGTCAGATACATAAACTTTTTTTTGCCATTATAGAGGTTTTGGTAATATTTTTGATCTAATAATAATAACTAAACACAGGAAGTAACCTAATAATAGCCCTAGTTTGTTCATTTTTGGGGGAAAAACACAACCAGAGACATTTCCTTTCTTAAGGGCATACTCTTTGTGCCTGCATGTGTGGGTGAGTGGGTGAGAGAATGCTTTAGGAGGCGAAAGTACCAAAGAATTTGAACACATCCCAAGACAGGACAATGTGTATTTCAAATAATGTTCTTCCACCACCACCAGAGCCCAGGAAGCCCATCTTCTCTCAAAGGGGCTGAGAGATGGTGTCTGGACCCTCTGGTTTCATGGTGCCCCCAAATATGTGGTATCCATCAACACAAAAACACGAGTATTAATCAGGCAGCAAGATCCAAGTAGTCGATAGCATGGAGGAGTAATGGGGAGTGGCTGCTTCTGGTGCCCTACCCAGATCCTGAAACAGGCCCGTGGACCCAGGCCCTAGCTGCTGTGAGCACTGGGTACTGCTAGGGCTAGGGGGAAAAGCTGTTTTCACCAAACTGGGGTCTCAGGCCTGGGAAATTATGCTGCAGCATCTCTCCCCCTTGGCTCTCAAGGACTGAAGGACACCAAGGTACAAAGAGTTGAGGGAACAAAAAGTCCTCCTTGCCTCAGGGTGAAATCAACTCTGTGATCCAGCTCATGGTCCGGAGCTCTGAACTCCTGCTGAAAGTCCTTCTTGCTTAGCTCCACCTGCCTGACCCCTCCCTAAGTCCCTCTCCCCAGCAAATTACAAGCACCCAGAGTCAGGATGTCCTTCTAGGGAAACTGACTTAAGAAAGAATGTGAAATAAAGAAATGAATGTGGTAGTGATGGGACTGGCTACACGAAGTGGTCTGGGGCTGAGGGTGGGTTGGGTAGAAAGGTGATCAGCATTTGAAAAAGGCATTGTTTTCTGAGTTTGACTGGGAGCCTAACTTAGCCAGGTCAAGGAAGGGGAGGAGAGGAGGGAGCACTCCAGGTAGGCTTGGTGCAAGGGGTAGACCCCCAGCTGAAGAGGAAAGAGCATGGCTACTGTGGGGAACTGCGTGCAGGTGGAGGTAGCTGGACTATAAAGTGAGATGCCAAAGAGGCTGCAGCTGCAGCTGGTGGGAGGGTCAGAGCTGGAGTATGTTTTGGTGCCTGGTGCTCCCTAGTTGTTTTAATATCAGCACCTCTCCTTTCTGTTTCTGTATATACTGAGTTGCCAGATTATTATGATCTCTGAACCCATAATAATCTGGCCACTCTGTGTCTATCCTATATATTAAAAGGCTAATATGCAAATTGTCCCCTTGAACAGGAGTTCAACCATCAGGCAGGCCAGCCAACAGCCCATGCTCCTTCCTCCTGACCAGGCTGGCCAGACCCCACCCATGCATGAATTCATGCACTGGGCCTCTAAAATATATCTATATCTATATCTATATCTATATCTATATCTATATCTATATCTACATCTATATCTATATATCTATATCTATATCATCTATGTCTATATAATCTATCTATCTATACACACTGAGTGGCCAGATTATTATGGGTATCTCTCACCACCATGTCTCTGTTCCCCTCTGCTGTGTCACATACTTCCCAGCTATCTGACGCTGGACAATTACTCTCTGTTTCTGTAAATGAGAATATCGTCAGTGCTCACTTCGTGGAGTTGGGGGCTGACCAATAGAGGAAACATAGGTACTAATCCAGTGCCTGACTCAAGATGGGTGCTTAATAAATGGTAGCTGCCCTTCCATTGCTTCTGCATTTACTTTATTTATCTGTTCTCTCTCCCTTAGCTGCCTATAAGAAAAAACTGATGTTTCAAAGAGATGACTACTTATATTTACCAAGTAAACATTCCCTATTTGCCATTCCAATAGAAATCATATCATTTTTAAATTTTTTGTAGTTTAATAACTCCCCTTCCTTAGTTTAGCAGTCTACTTCTCAGCTTGTAATAGCTTCAAAATATACTGAGGTACAGTGTACCTAAGTCCACAACACTAGTGTAGTAGTGTGTTCTTTTCTTCAAGGGTCTGTTTAATAAAAGACAAGGGGAGTGGTTGGGTCAGTTATATATACTAGTATTTGGAAGTTAAAATGTTTTGGGAATAAAGCACTATTTTTATATTTAATTTCAAAATCCCCAAGTATTCTGTTTTCTGAGTTTCTTTTTTTAAAATATATTTTTATTAATTTCAGAGAAGAAGGAAGAGGGAGATGGAAACATTCATGATGAGAGAGAATCATGGATCAGTTGCCTCCTACAAGTTGCACTGGGGTGGAGCCCACAACCTGAGCATGTGCCCTTGACCAGAATTGAACCTGGAACCTTTCAGTTTGCAGGCCAACGCTCTGTCTACTGAGTCAAACCAGCTAGGGCTTTCTGAGTTTCTTGACAGGGGAGCCAGGCCATTGCAAATCTCAGGGAACCAGGTCGGCTGGGATGAGTAGGATGACGTCTCCTCCCCTTTGTGGTTTTTGCATTTTAGACAAAAGTGAATTCAGATGTTTCGCTAGTCCTAGGAAGAGAAGGCTGAAGGTGTGGGAACACTGGCTTCCACGAGATGAGAAAGGTATTAATCATCGGCAGGTTCTCCTCAGCTCATGGTGAGGAAGGCCAGAGGTAAGAACGAGCCGGGGACTTGGAGTGTAAAACAGCCCTGCTGGGTGGCTACTGGGTTACCCGCAATTTAACCGAAGGCTACATCTGAATGCCTGATCTACCCTTCGCAGCTTTTTTCTTTTTGTCTTTGAGCAAGTGACAAATTCTCAGTTTCGATATTTAAAAAAAAAAAGTAATAAACACCTACATTACATAAAACCGTTCATAGGGTTTATATTAAATGGGATAATATATTTCAGCATTTAGCATATTTCCTGGTAGCAGTGCATGGCAATATGGTACATTATTATTGGACCTAGTTATTTTTTCCCCCATTAGTTTGATACAGAAATATTTTCTCGTCTCTCCAATGGGGAATAACAATAGTTTCTCTTGTACTTTTCCAAAAAGATAGAGAATGCTGGACTTCTATATGTAATCCTGAAAATCCCAGAGAAATATACTTTCATTCCCCTCCTTACACAGGCAAAGAAACCCAACACACTGCATGCAGAAAGAAGTGCAAGAGCAGCCCAGCAGGGGGCGCCTCAGCTACCCCAGGGGAGGCAGGTGTGAGTTATTTGCAGTGCAGCTGGCCAGGCCATCTGAGAGGGCACCCCAGTCCATCACTGACCTTGGAGATGGGGACTGGCTCCGGTTCCAGCAATTGCCGACTTATGGAGGCCTCGGTGCCAGAGGAAGCAGTCCTTTCCAGTACGTGGGAGCTCTGAGTAAAGAATACAACCCAGGGTTAGATAAGCCATTTCTCATGTGGATGGCACGGGGGTGAGATCACGTGGCCACCTGGGAACGAGACAGTGAGCTATGTTAGAAACTGCGGGCTCCTGAGGAGAACAAAGGCAGTAGGAACAATCGGAAAAATCGCAGCCAGGATTCTGTTGTCCCCTCTTATCGATTTGCTGCTGAACTAGTCCTACATTTTGGATTCAATCTTAAAGTAGGAGTCAGGGACCACACAATTTTTTTTAAAAACATTAATACATCTATTATACTACATACACAATTTGCCTTACGAAGAATACCTGCTTACCTCTCCAATGGCACTATACAAAGAGAAAATTTTATGTCAAAAAGCCCAGAGCTTTAATACCATTTAGTGTTTAGAGTTTCTTATAATCCCTATGAGATAATTACATTATAACATTATAATTATTATATGATAATGTCTTATAATAATTCTTAAGTGCACAGAAAAGAAAACAACTCATTAAATACAATAGACAGTAGATGTCCTTTACAAAGACTATAGTCTTCATTGATCTGAATATTCATTGATCAGTTGGATAACACTCCCAACAGAAAAATAGGTAAAGCACATGAACAGAGAACTCACACAGAACATTTGAAAAGATGTTCACCTCAGCCTCAGAAGTATTCAAAGAAATGAAAACCAAAATAAGAATGATTTTTTTAAAACCATTAGAGAATGGATTAGGGTTGGAGGAAAGGGAGTATAAATTGGGTATGATCTAGCTAAAGAGGAATTTTGCAATTTTATTAAAAACTTTTTTGGATTGCCTCATTCACGCAGCAATCCTACAGCTAAATTTTCACCCCAAGGAAATAATCAAATACTTACGCAAATATGTAAGATATGTTTACTCAAGCATTATTTGTTGCAGAAAAAAAAAAAATATATATGAATAATACAAACATAAGGAAATAGTATGGAGTGATTAAAGATGACAATATGGATCCCTGGGAACTGATATGTAAAAATACTCATAGTGTTCTGTCAACTGAAAAATCAGGCTATAAAAGTATACAGAATATAATGATGTTATAATATAATCAAAATATATTTCAGAATGTTTTAATAGAACTGTAGCTATCCAAAGGTGGAGGGATGATAGATAATTTTTAATTGCTTCTTAATATTTTTCTAATTTTTTAATGCAATAAGTGGATATTATCTGTACATATGAAAAGACATGAAGAACTTTCTATGGGAGAATAATTTTGAAAGACATCAAAGAACTCAGTGTAGTGGATTTTCAGACATAGGCTGAAAATGAAATATAATGTTTTTACTCTAGTTATTTCATTTTTTCAATAGACAGGTTGGTATTTTATTTACTTATTGAGCCCTCTATTTTTGATATATCACTGGAAAACTATTAGATTAACATTTGCTCTTTCGTAAAGAAAATGACACTTTGAACTGAGCCAATTATTCTAATTTCTTTGTAAGTTTAAAGCTTTTGGTTATTTCTATTACCTTGAAAACAAGGAGTCTGATCACAGATTTTAAAAATCCTACCTAAATGCATTTGGAGCCATTTATTAAAAAGAAAACAACTGAAGGAAAAGATTTATGAATTGCTCTCATTCTTCCAATTTGTGAGAAAACAGAAGATAAGAACAGATATTTTCACACCAAATATAACGGGGCAGAGGTTAGCAAGAATTCCTAATTTGACAGCTACAGTACCGAAGGACAGTTTAAGCATTAACTGGGACTCTGCTTTTTCCATTCCCAGACCTATTAAATTAGCAGAGAAAAATGATAAATGTGGCTCAGTACCCATACCTGTGCCAATGCCTTTTGATGGGAGAATCAAAAGCCAATGCATACGATGGAGTGAAAGATGAGATGTGTGTTCAGATCTTCAACAGACAAAATGGGAACCAACCACCTGGGAATGGCATTATTTGTTTGTTCATGTTGATATTTTGAATAGGATCCTGGGTTAACATGTGATGGTCTATTGCTATTTTTAAATAAATTTAGGAATATTTTAAAATTCTACCCATTTTAATTTCTAACACAATAAATATAAATAGATATAACCTACACAAACAAAAGCTCTTTAAAGCCTTCAATAATTTTTAAGAGTGTAAAGTGTTCCTAAAACCAGAAATTTGAGAATGACTGTTCTAGAAGAACTACTTTTTAAAATGTTGTGTTTATTATTAAAATGGAGAATTCTGATTGCATGTAGGTTATTCTATTTCTCATAATGCTTCTTTTGAGGAAAAGCACTGTTTAAAAATGAACACATTTCAAATTTTCTTTAACACTAGTTAACCTAAATTATATAAATCTATTCATTAACAACCCCAAACTATCCTGAGACATTACACAAGCTATTAGAGGGAAATAAACCTTATGTCATATACTCTTCAAAAACATCTGAGCAAAACTCCTCTAAATGTATATTCTATAAAACTAAAAAACCATAAACTTATTTTTCAAATGTATTAAGTTGATTTTTCTAAAAAAGAACCACAAGCAGTAAAGACATATAGGTGTCACTCCACCACAGAGATATAAATAACTTCATAATTTGAGATAAATTCCTCAGGAAAAAGTTTTCAAGATAGCATTTTTTAAAAAAATCAAGAAATAGAATATTTTAGAAACTACACAGTTCTTCTCTCACTATTTAATAGAATGTCAACCAAAACGTTCAATAAAGTAAATATAATAAAGCAGAAAACCAGAGACTGCCAGTGATAGGTGTCACTCATTCATTCACTTGTGTGCTGGCTCAATTAATCTACAGATCACTGTTAGACATCTGTACTGTGTCAAGTGCAGGTTACAGCATGCCAGAGAACAAAAGAGACAAGAGAATTCCTCCTGTGATGCTTATATTCTAGAGAGAGGCCTTATTATACAAAAGTCCAAATAAGGCTGAACAAAAATTGTTGTAAACACAAGCATTAATCTTGTTCCATGTGGCTACGGCTTTAGCTTACTTTATTTTTTCCAGTGAAATATTTTTGGTCTAAGTTTCTCTTTAAGGATCTTACCCTATCCTTAGACTTATAGGTTGCTGGGCAATCAAGTACACAATCAAGAATTCTCCATTTTAATAATACTTGCCTCCTCACCCTCCACCCATCAGCCCCCAACAAATAAACATGGTAAGAAAAGAACTTGGAAAGAAACTCGACCTTAGCAACTATGTAAGCAGAAAATAAAGGATTAATTCAGGAATTTAGCTAGGGGAAGCAAACTAAATCCCCTAATTTCCGAACCAAGCCACAGACAGAGGAATCAATTTAGGGTATTTAAAGTGTGATAGAAAGAATCTTGCTTCTATAGTTGCCTGGGGATACTTAAAATGTTGCTAGGATTTTGTGGATAAGAAGGGTTAGAGACCAAACAAACCAAGACAGAATCTATAAATTACTCCAATACCTGTTCCAAGGAACATATTAGTTTCTTCTCCTCCTGATTCTACAAAATAGTTTATATTATGGGAGCAAAGAGGCTCATTCATTTCAAACATAGTACAATATAGTACACATTCAAGCTGAGTGAAAAATACCCTAAATTTTGTTGATTTGCCAAGATACAGAAAATCATAAAAAAAAATAGTTACTAAAAAATAGCAAGTAAATGAATATTTTTATTACCACAAATGAGTACATATTTTACTGAAAAATTAAAGCATAACTTATAAAACTACCCATTATAAATGTAATCTAGCTTCAAAAACTAAGCTATTTCTTTTAACCTCCAGAATGATAACAAAGAAGCCAAATGCTCTTATACAAACTTGAGCAGTCTTATACAAGGTGGGCAAAAGTAGGTTTACAGTTGTGAGTACTCAAAACAGAATTTATTCTTTTTTTTTTTTTTTTTTTCTCTTGCACACCCCCTACTGGGGATGTGCCCGCAACCCAGGTACATGCCCTTGACCGGAATCAAACCCGGGACCTTTCAGTCCACAGACCGACGCTCTATCCATTGAGCCAAACCGGTTTCGGCTGACCGCTGTTTTTTTTTTTTTTTTTTTAAATAAGTTTTTATTGTTCATATTATTACATATTATTACATATTATTACATATTATTACATATTATTCCTCCCCCCCCCCACTATTGCTCTCCTCCACCAGGTTCCCACCCCACCCTCTGCCCTTTCCCCACTCCCCATTGTCCTCATCCATAGGTGCACAGTTTATGTTCAGTCTCTTCCCACACCCCCCTCTCCCCTTTTCCCCAAGAATCGTCAGTTCACTCCCCTTCCATACCTCTGATTCTATTATATTCAACAGTTACTATTGTTCATCAGATTTTTTTTTTTTTATTTCCTTGGTTTTTAGATTCACTTGTTGATAGTTACGTATTTGTTGTTCATAATTTTTATCTTTGTTTACTTTCTCTTCTGAAAGAACTCCCTTCAGCAACTCATATAAGTCTGGTTTGGTGTTGATGAACTCCTTTAGCTTTTTTTTATTAGTGAAGCTCTTTATCTGACCTTCGATTCTGAGTGATAGCTTTGCTGGATAGATTATTTTTGGCTGTAGGTTCTTACTATTCATCACCTTGAATATTTCTTGCCATTCCCGTCTGGCCTGCATGGTTTCTGTTGAGAAGTCAGCTGACAATCGTATAGGTGCTCCTTTATAAGTAACTACCTTCTTTGCTCTTGCTTCTTTTAATATTCTCTCTTTGTCTTTTGCTCTTGGAATTTTAATTATGATTTGTCTTGGTGTGGTCCTCTTTGGATTCCTTTTGTTTGGAGTTCTGTGCGCTTCCTGGACTTGTAAGTCTAATTCTTTCCCCAGATGGGGGAAGTTTTCTGTCACTATTTCTTTCAGTATGTTTTCGATATCTTGCTCTCTCTCATCTTCTGGGACCCCCATAATTCTGATGTTGGTTCGCTTGAAGTTGTCCCAGAGGTTTCTTACATTATCTTCAATTTTCTGGATTCTCTTGCCTTCTAGCTTCTGTGAAGGAGTGTCTTCTGGCT